AATTGAATAGGAAGCGTTAAAAAGTAACCAAATGAATATTCGCTTTCTCCTTGATGTTATATTGGACACCATTATTAATAAATAATATTAAGCGGTGTTATTATGGGATATAACTTACTTATTTTGAAAGCGAGACGTATTAAACTGATAAACGAATAAGAAACGTTCAAAAGCAACAAAAAGAATATTTGCTTTCTTCTTGATATTGTATTGGAGACCATTATTAATAAAAAGCATTAATCGAGGTCATTTTATCAGATAACTTATTCATTTTCCAACTAATAAATGTTAAAAAGTAACAGAAAGAATATTCGCTTTCTTCTTGATGTTGAATTGGAAACCAGTATTAATAAATAATATGCGATCGTACATTTAGATACAATAAAAATGTACTTTTTGCTTCAGTTGTTGTCTTTATATCATGTAACTCAAGTGAGGCCATTAAACTGATGACTACGAAACATAACCAAGTGTTCAAAATAATGTTTGATTTCTATTTAATATTGAATTGGAGACAATTGTTTAGAAAAAATTCACCAAAATTTATGCAAAAATTTTAACTACTGAAAAATCAACTTTTAACTTCTATCAGTGTCAACTAATTCATTTTGCATGGAATGTCTTACATAAAACAACAAACATAAAAAATGAAATGATAAATGAAAAAAAAAGATCATTTGAAAAATATTTAAAAAAAACTTGACATAAATGATCCTAAGAAACTGAAGAGAAAAGATAAAATAAAAGATAAACTTGTTAGTGTAAAAGTTTTATTAGTTTCAAAAATTATTAATATGGAAACATTTGACGTGTTTTGAGTGCTCAAAAATAGGTGTCCATTTTCAAAACTCACCGGATGGGACGGAGGAAAAAACAGATTCGAAATAGGAAAAGCAAAGTTGCCTTCGACAACCGCGAAATAAACATTTGTTTTTAATCGATAACAAACTCAATAATAGAATTTGAAAATGTTTTATAAAATAACTATGATTGTAACTGAAAATTAATCCACTACAAATTTTAAGAAATGTTTACATATATAGTGATTTTTAAGATTGAAACTATAGCGAAAAAATTTTCTAATTGATAGCATTTTGAAACTTTTGCATGTTCAGAGACACGAGACAATGATGAATTCTCTAAAACTTTCTATAAAAACAAAATCAATACAATCGTGGTGCGAGAGCAATCAAGAAAAGTAAAACCTATGCTCATTCATCACACAATTTGATTGGAATCCTGTAAAAAGTTCTCATATTTTTTTTAAACATAAAGACTGATTATTTAGTTACTTCATTTTTTAAAAGATTTCTGTGAAAAAACGACATTTTACTACTACGGCTATGTTTTTGTTAAACAAAAACAGAAAAACAACTTATTGCATGAAAATTTAAATTTTGATCTGTATTTATATAATTAAAGTATTTAGCTACCAAAACCCTTTTCCGGAACATGTCACGGAACAAAAAATCTGATATAGTGTAATTTCTGCTGTAATATTTACGGTAAAATCTCTGAGTCACTCTAATTAAATAAATATTTCTGTAAAAACTACGGTATAATATTTTACGGTTAAAATGAATGTGGTATTTTACAGGTGATGCACCCAAAGTGTCAGTACTTTATACTATAATTTGATCCGGAATTTTTTACAGCGGGCGAATATATGTCTAACTATAAATAAAACTAGATCTATAGAGTTAGAACTTGTGAGTTGGCAGCTCTGGGTTGAAGAAACCGGTTTCAGAAAACTGTTAAATTGCTGTTGAAACTTCGAAAAACTCTTGCATATCCTTGAGAAAAGAAGCTTTTCAGATAACAGATATTTCTCCAAAAAAAAGTAAAACATTGATAAGATGGAAATATTTACAGTAATAATTTGCCGAAACATTGGAGTTCTACTACTACTTATCCATACGAATGTGAAAGACCCTTGAATTTTTCCTCTTCCATATAATTTTGCTGATTTCTTCTTTTCTTCTTTACACTTTTATCTGATGATGGCATCAGAGCAAAAGTTAAAATTCATCGAAACTCTGTGAGCCTTAATTGAGTGTTTAAAACATTTGGACACCCCTAGAGAAACTGCTACAACCGAATATATTGAAGTAAATGTGCATATGACCTGATATTACCTACCAGTGAATTAATAACATTCATCAACTGCAATAAAAAATCCTTTTTAAAATTGACAGGTTGTGCGCAAGAACAAAGTGACTGTAAAAAAAAATTAAAATAAAGTATAAAAGACAAGAGAGTTATGTATTGTATCCCACAGTATATCTTAGCGAACTGGTGTTAAATTATCTTACTCAAATCAAAAAGCATTATTGTCCACTGTCAAAAATAAATTGAAAAATATTTTAGAAAATTTGAAGTTGCATTAAGCAACTCAATTACAGTAAAGCCTCAATATAAAAGTTTCAAGACAGTTTCAAACCTAATATAAAAGCTCTTAGACGATCAGAATATTAAAGTTTATTAAAAAACTAGAAAAAGTCTATCGAAAACCTTCAGATAGATGGCTAAAAAAATATTATGATAAACTGAGAGAAATAAAATTCTGATCAATTCTGAAAATCGAAAAATTTACCGTGTTTCTGGCTTTATCAGAACACCAGGAGAACCGGTAACTTTTATCGAAGCGCTTTGGTTATGATTTCAGTAAAATTGACAGTAAAATCTGATATTTTAATACGTGATAAAGTTTAATAAATGTTGCAAAATTTCGGAATTTATCGTGATACCTTAGAGGATGGTATAAAAATTATTTATTCAGAGAAATTTACTTTTCAATTTCTATTTTTTACTAAATGTTAGAAAATAAGAACTATAATTTGGGAAAACGGAATTTCCAGTAAATTGATACCATACGAATGAAAAAAAATCACCAAATTAATGGTCTAAATACTGTATAGTTTGCTTTTTATTACCAGAATTATGGGGGTTTTTTTTATTTATAAATGCCATTACCATACTGTACGGTAATTTTACCTGATTTTTTTCGCCTTGTATAAACTGTGATTTAGTAATAAAATTTATAATCACTATAAAAATAAGGGGCAACAGTTTTAACATAAAAAAACTGAAAATTCCTTAGAAATTAAAATTTAATTTAAAATTAAAAATTCAATTATCCTGAGTGCCTATCTAGATTATTTACTTAAAAAGTTTCGTTGAGAAAATTTTATTTTTGATTTAGCAACATTTATGCTTTAATTTCAATTTGTTTTAACCCCGATGCTAAATCGATAATTTAATCATATAAATCTAAGACATATTAGCTTGACAGTTAAGTTTTTAAAAAAATTGTAGTAGTACTTCAGTTTTTAAGAAAATTCCTCCGTTACTTATATTATAACCAGTATTTAAATCTTTTCCAGATGTTTGAAAGTTGGCAGAAATAAAGAAGCAAATTTTTTTTATTATTTATTTAATTATTCTTTTTTTTTATTTCTTTCTTTCTTTTTTTCTTTCTTTTTTTTTGCTGTCTACTGAAAAGATAAAAATCTAAATTAATAAATAGCATCTTCAAATCTAATTTCAGAGAGAGCTCATAGTTCAAAGTGGTATAAATTCTTGCACGTTTTTTCTCTTTTTAATTTTCTTGAAATTTTGAAAATTCTTTAAAATTTTTCTTTTAAATTGTTCGAATTTTTTTTAGAAATAATCAACATCTGAAAAATATTTTAATGCAAATTTTCGAGCATTCATATAAAATATTAAAGGAAAATACTATTGCTAAAGATTGCATTTCAAATTAATTAAAACAGCATATGTTAACTTATGAAATGATTTTCATAAACTATTTAAAATTTATGACAGTTACCGTCGTAACGTTTTCTGCGAAAACTGTAGGAAGACAATAATTAAAAGTAGTAAAGTAGGAAACAATAATTGAAAGTAAGTTTACTTTCAATTATTGTTTCCTTTTAGGAGGGAAGAATTTTGAGTAAAGAAACAATAATTGAAAGCGTCAATAATAAGTCTTTTTTTTCTTTAAATTAAATTTTAGAGATTATCGTAAGTTTATGAGTCTATATCTTAGAGTGTGATCTTATAAAACCATGACTCCTGTTTCATACGGGAGCTAAATATGCAAGGTGTTCCGTGATGGCCACCCTTGATCTATATTTTTTAAATTCTTGTCAAAAAAGAAATATAAGACTTCATGAGTTGCAAGTTAATGTTCTAAAAAGAAGAAATACAAATGCTACCAAAAATAGCCACAATATTAGTTTTCAGCCTTTAATATGTATGCTTCTTTAATCTCATTTGAAAAATATACTCATTGTTGACTCAACACAATATACTCCAGTTGAAATCACGTCACATTCGATCGAATAGTGAATTATTTATTTTTCGTGGTTAATTAAAGTGACATAGATCGAAATTTTAAAATGTTTGTAACTACAGCTTTGTGTTCCTTTTTTCAGATGTAATATATCTGTATGACATATCTCCAAACGCTAAGTAGTATCTTAACAGAAAAAATCTTTAATAAAGCAAGAAAAAAAAGTAAACACTTTTATTACTTTTGATGTAATGATTGGATTTTCACCTATACTATGTGTCAATGTTAACAATCTGAGATTATATCCTTAAATATGCCTATTAATTAGTGCAGGCGATATTTTATGTTACGAAATAAAACATTAGAAACAGTACTTTCCATTAATAAACACACACTGTTTTCGACTAATTTGAAAACTTAACCCTCTGATATGGGAAATCGTCGCCATCTGGAAAATACGGCCCGAATAGTTTAAATAGAAGAGCGCTATTGATCTTTTTAAAAGCGATGGGAAACCTGGTTAGTATTATTTAAAATCAAATTTTTCAAGCCAAAAAATAAATATGAAAGCATGAATTTTGATAACATTGGCAACTTCGGCAAAAGCATTGAAATTAATAGCTATGAATTAAGTAATCATTATTTTATATTTCAGCTGTTCTTTCAGGTAACTTTTATAAAGATTTGTTTTTAAATTACTTTTCAGCTTGCAATTTGGTTTCGTTGCTGAACCACTTGGTACTATCACAGCCATTACGGACAAAACTTTAAATTTTAAAACTTTGGTTGGAAATGAGGAAGAGGAAAATGAAGAGATGAACTTTAACTGCAAAGGTAATGTCAATACATGGTTTCTCGTAAGAGATCGAAAAATGAAAATAAAGGCTCGGTGTGAACCGACACTCACGCGGACGCTTTGGTGAATGTCCAGAATATTTGTTTTTGTATCATTTTTAGTGTATATCAAGCCACGGCCCTTAATCTAAAAAAATCAGCGTAGAGAATAGAGCAAGTGCATAACGGGTAATGGTCCTTAATCTTTAAATCAAAAAATTTATTTCTCAGGTTTTGCATCCAAGAAAATATTTATTCAAATACAAAAATAATCGTGCATGTTGCTCTCTTCTTTTATTTTATGAATATAATTTAGTATGTGCGTATCAGAAATTCTCCAATTTAGCTTTTTGAAACCACTCATTTTGGACGAAATTATTTATATTTGTAAATTTTAAAGTGCATAAAAGAGGGAATGAATATCATGTCTTATCTAAATTCCTTGAATTGAATATCGAATGAGCGGAAAAGAAAAAAAAATTAATTTCAGATGCTTGAGAATTTTTTAATTGCTACTATAATTCCTAATAAGTCGAAAAAATGTTAATTTATCACAGAAGTAAATTTGAATGTAAAAAAAATCTTGTCACTAAGTTTTAGATTAAGAGAAGATTCAAAATGATATGTAACAAGCATTATTCGTAATGCTTGTTTTTTTTTTTAATATTGAAAAAACTTTTATAAAAATCTGACAGCAATATTTAATGTTCCTTCAAACATAAAAGAGTCCTAAATAAAATTTTGATAAAGTTGTGGCCCGCCATTTGACTGATGTTTTTAATTGCGGCCCCCGGCCTCATGTAAGTTGGAAACCCCTGGTATAGAATAATGTGCAACTGTATACCAGGTGATGGCCCTTAATCTCAAAAAGAATTATCAATATACCGAATACTGAGTAAATGCTTACTAGACAATGACCCTAATCTAAAAAAATTTTTGTGGAGAATACTGAGCAAGTGTATACCGGGCAATGGTCCTTAATCTTTAAAAAACATCAGTGTGTAGAATAAGGCGCAACTGTATACCATACAATGGCCATTAATCTCAAAAAGAATTATTAATGTTGAGAATACTGAGTAAGTGTATACCAGGCAATGGTCCTTAATCTAAAAAAAAATATCATTGTGAAGAATACTGAGCAAGTGTATATCGGGCAATTACCCTTAATCTTCAAAAGGCATCATTGTAGAGAATAATGTGCAACTGTATACCAAGCAATGGCCTTTAATCTTAAGACATCAGTGCGTAGAATAATGCGCAACTGTATACCAGACAATGGCCATTAATCTCAAAAAGAATTATTAATGTCGAGAATACTGAGTAAGTGTATACCAGGCAATGGCCCTTAATCTAAAATAATATCAGTGTTTAGAATACTGAGCAAGTGTATACCGAGCAATGGCCGTTAGTCTTAAAACACATCACTGTAAGGAATACTGAGCAAGTGTATACAGGCAATCTGATTAATATGCATTTATTATAACATTTACTAATCATTGATTGTCCCTATTTTTAATGTTCAGACATATTTTCCGATCTTCCCTATACTAATGTTTTTCCTTATATAAAGTTATTAAAATCTAACAAATACAGAAATATCAAATAAACTAATATCAGATATAACAAATTTGTCTTATTTGTGTAACCAAAAGGAACTATGTAAATGACAATACACAAAGAATATTGTTCATCAATTACCACATTAATGATTTTGACATTGCAGATTTAGCTTATGTTTTAAGGGGGAAAACATTGATACGTTTTTTAACAATAAAACATTAAATTCTATTGCAGGAAAACAAAAATAAATTCAAATTTATCGCTTCAAAACTGCACACGTATATCTGCTTTAATAACTTATAGCATATTAATATCTTTCGCTATTCACGTTTAGTATAGTAAAATCATCATGTAGAGCATTAAGAAGTATAATAGTAATTGAAAATTTGCTAATTTATTTATTGAAATTTTCGTATTTTTTCTTTTATTGAAATTTCAATTTTTTTCTGTAAGGTCACTAAATAAAATAGTGTATAATAAGAAAGTGTGTTTTGTTAACAACCCCTTGTTGCTGCTATGACTTCTGGAATTACTGTTCTTAATGAGTGTTCTTAAAATAACTAAATTGTTATTTAAAACAATTCATCACAATTATTTTCAACTGCTTTGTTATTTGTTTCAGATTTAGAATACATTGTGAAAGGAAGGTTATCTGGAAAAGAGATGACTTTCGAGAAGAAAATAAATTTGGTAGGAAATTTACAACTTCAAAACTTTAGTTTCAGCTTGAATTCTATGGATGGTGCAGGATTTGTTATGAAAGGGTTTGTTACAATACGCTTTATACAATTACTCAATATACGAAACAAATATTAAAATGTAAAGATAATGCGACAATAAATAATTGGTAATAATAATGAATCTTTAAGTATAACACATGCTGTATGCCGAGAGTCTGAACCGATTTTGAAAGTGTATGAGCAGAGAATTTTTATTTTATACGACAAATCCAAATCTGAGTTTACGACTAGAAATGTTCAAATCCAGGGCATTGCGATTTTGAACCCAACCCAGAAGACAAGGAAGCTTCTGTATCAAGCATTGGGATAAACTAGCCTTCGCGGGGGACTTTTTGAAGGGATATAGTCTCATTTGCGTTACATGGAGAACAAAATCACCACCCCACAGTTAACCCACTGGCAAGGGGATGATGAGGAGTCACCTCTGGATGGTGTGATCGAGGAACAAAATTCATCTTAACCAGCCGCAGCTGCAATTCGAACTTGTGCCACCCTCTTTTGGAGGTGAATGCTCGATCCCCTAAGTAACCGCGGCTCAGTCGATTTTTTTTTTTTTTTTTTTTTTTNTTTTTTTTTTTTTTTTTTTTTTTTTTTTTTTTTTTTTTTTTTTTTTTTTTTTTGTAACCGTCGTTGAACAGCTGACGCAATTTCGAGCTTACGACTACAACCGATGAACTCCGTAGCCGTTTAATAGTCGAAAATGTTTGCAATATTTTCGAAAGGGTTTCTGTAAGTAGGGTAGTCGGCTTATAATCGGATCCGATAACTTCGCAGAATTCTAAACAAATATCGCCAATAAAAGTATTTTATCGTTGATAGAGCATTAGCTATAGATTGCTAAATATCGCGAAACGGAACTTACGAAACATGTGAAGACATAACAGTTGAAGACATAACAGTTGAAAATAAAACAACTGAAATAAACAGTTGGAAAAAAATGCATAAAAGGACTATAAAACGAAATACATCAATAATTTAAAAAAAATACGTTATACATCCTGTATAGCTTTTGCTGTGTGATAATAATAGAAATTATTTAAAAAAATACTTTATAAGAATTTAGAACAATTATAAATGCGATTTGAAATAGGAATCTATTTATTTTCAGATTGGTTAACGCAAAAGTTTTTTAAACGATTCATTTTATTTTAATTAAACGTTAACTAAGTTTATTACTATTCACAACACATTTTGGTGCCTAAGTTTTGCAACAGTCCAAACATTTATTAAATGGAATAGTTTTAGAAATATGCTGCTAAATATTTTCCAATTATATTTAACAGAAAGAAACTAAGGCCTTCGGAAGCAAGAGTATCAAATCTTAAAGTAGAAAAAACTCGTACAGGTAAAGAGAAATAATTATTTTTCAAATTATATTTTATTTAACTTCTTTTTTTTAAAAAAAATTTAATCACGTAATTATAATTCAAAAGGAATTGTACTTCCCGTATTGTAATTTATGGACGATACTTGGGAATGTTATAAAATTTACATAATGCACCATATTTCACAAATTATAACTTAATTTTAAGTAAACTGCATAAGCGTAGGTTGTGGAATGTTGTTTAAAGCCCGTAAGATGTGCAGATTTCCTTGTTTACTGTAAAGTATAAGTTTTATTACAACTTAAACCCTTTGAGGCGAAATTTTTTACTAAGCACATTTCTTATAATTTTTCTTTATTTTGTATCAATTTTGGTCAAAATAGATGAAAAATAATGTATTTAGCCTTTTAATAATTTATGGTTATAAAATATAGCATGAAACACACGAGTCTTTTTCTGTGTTGAAGGTACCAAGGTCTGTGTTGAAGGTCTTCCAAAAACGGATCACTTCCAAACAGCAATTTTTCAAATAAAAACTTATTTCCAGCTATTTAGATCAAAGAGAAACAGTTATTCATCATTGAAAATTTCTGTAATTTGGAAAATCAACTGAAAAATTTTTGAATATGAGAGGAAAAAAAAATTCTTACTACTTTCTGTGGATTATTACAAATATAATTTCAATTATCTAACATGTTTTTAGTAAATATTAGACTGTTTTATATAATTAAAAAATACCAAAATATATTTCTGCTTGAAATTAGAGAGTCAGAAAAATTAAATGAAAGGTACACAGGGCATGAAATGGCTTAAAAGGAACAAATCTGTCATGATCGAAGCATTGATTTTAATTATTTTATAGTAGTACCTTTGGTGACTTACTTTTTTGAAGAAATATGCCAAGAACCTTCTGTGACAGGGGGCAAGGGCTCTTCATTAGGAAAACTCACTGAACTTAGTAAAAAAATGAAAAATGTAAGTATATTACATCGTATTTATTAGTTAATCGAATTTATTAATAATTCTTTATCTTTCGACTTACATTATACTTTCCACTAAACATTGTAGAATTTCAAGCACTATATATATTTGAAGTTACCTAAGCCATTTTACAATTTAAAACATCTGACATTTTAAGAAGACTTATTTTGCAGATTGATTAATGGTAAATCTTGGTTCTAAAACTACATTCTAGGTTTACATGCATGAAAAGTTTCTAAAAGAGAAAAAATACAGCGGCTTCAGTTATCTTTTGATATAGAGTAATTTAAGAGTAAAAATTTAATATTTGGTTCATGTTAATTAGTTATAAAGTAACAACAGGTTAAAACAAGTGTATAAATACTTCTCAAAAAAATTTTAGAGTTAAAAAAATGTAAAAAATATTAGTTTTATTTCAAGATGTTCAGATATTAAGCAAAATTATATTAAGTATTAAGTAAATTATGTTAAATAATTTATGTGTTTACAATAATTTAAACCGCGATTTAAACTGTTTTAACAGTAAAGAGTTTTAAAAAAATAATTTTCAAAACAGAATGAACTTATTTTCTAGTTAGGTATTTTATAGACAACAAAATTCTGGACAGTCATTAAAAAACTATAATTTCTTATAAAGAAATCAGAGTTTAGAGAAAGGATATTAACGACAAAAATTAAGAAAAGAAAGTGTTTTAAAATGAAGAATAATGGATTTAGCTTGTTAAAAAACGTTTACATTTTCTTATAAATTAGGTCTATCAAGTTCAAGAATAACGAAATAAATAAATTTATTTATACCCTGCATTCCTAATTTAACTTTTGAGGTTAAAAAATCCTTTTTTGTAAGAAAAGTTTGATACCCTCTGTTACCTTGAACACTGTAAAAAATTCCAGATCAAATCACGGTTGCTGCGGAACAAAAAATCTGATATTCCATAATTTTTTCTGTAATACTTACCGTAAAATCACTGAATCACTCTAATTAAAAAATATAAAACTGCAGAAATTACGGTATAATATTTTACGGTAAAACTTCTTTTACAGACGATGCCCTCAAAGTGCCTGTACTTTAAATCGTAAATCAATCTGGAATTTTTTATGTGTACATTAAACAACAGTAAAATTAAGAATGTGGATAACAATCAAAATGGAACTATAATAAATGAGGTAAACCAACCATATTATTTGAGTTAATGCTTAAAAAGATTTGAATTTCTTTAAAAATACGAGTTTAGTAGTTTAATTCATGAAACATAGAAATTTATAGTGAAATCTTAAATACAAGTTACAGTTTATAACGTACTTTTCAAACACACATGCCGAATTGAAGCATGTAATTCAAAATTTCATTGAAACATACAATTGATGATGGCAATCAAATTCAACACAATATTTTTAAAATCAGCATCCGAAATTTATTCAGCAAAATGGACTAGGTTAACCCTAAGTAGCCTAGATGACGGTGCTTAATATTTTTTTTAAAGTAGCTAAAATTAGTATAAAGCTATATAATTTAAAAATAATATCAAATTTTGTGATATTCTCAATTAGAAAATAAAAATACGGTGATTGTATAAATAATCCTAAAAAACTGGAGCTGTAAGATATTACTTGATTTAAAACTTCTTTCACTTCAAAAATATACTTATTAGAAATTACAGTCGATATATTTCAAGAGATCAAGAAAATACGCCCATTTTCAAGACTTCTTAGGCCACTCCCTGATTTGCCTTCTTGGTTTTTCTAGTTTTGTTTCTTTATTTTTGCATTTTTTGTTGGCAACGTTACTTTTCATATTTCAATTCCCTTTTGCTTCTTCTCTTTCCCGACTAGCAAGTCTTGAAAAAGTGTCCTGTTTTCAAGCGCTTAAAACGTGTCGACCGTAATTTTCAATTTGCATTTAAAGCGAATGAAGTCTTTAATCAAGTAAAAAGACGGTGAGTTTTAATGGTGTTATTTAATCTCAATATTATATATTAAAAATGCAAATTAAGATTTCACCTTTTTGCTTAACCTTTCTTATAGTTCATTGTTCCTGAAGGTGTGGTTGTCACCACTGCAGCATATGAGCTATTTATAACAAAAGAAGTTCTCCAGGATATTGAGAACTTGGAAAGAGTTTTATAGTAAATACATATATGTTGCTTTTTTTCTTACATTCTGCGAAGAATTTAAAATTTGAATCTATTCCTTTATATGTATTCATTTATTAATGTTTCTCTATATTTATAGTGGAAATGTTCCAGGAGATGTAAAAGAAATTTGTAAAAGGTAAAATAGTTTCAATCTATCTATTCTAGAATAAAATTGTAAATATTTTGATTGCTGAATGTATATGATATAGAGGATGATTAAATAAATCGGTAACAAACTTGAACACTGACATCCAAATAAGCACTCGACTTTTCCTCTGTTTTCTTTTTAAAAAAATGTGTAAGAAATTCTGCTACACATTTTAAGATAAACGTTATATAAAATGAACATGATACCTGGAAAATTAGCCGAGATTATATAAACTCGATTTTTACAAGTTACATGCGATATTATTACTTTTTTGTGCAGACCCTTAAAAAAACTGTTATTCTATTTAAAAAATTTAAATTATTTCATTTTTTTTCTAAATTACATCAATGTGTTGAATAGAGCTTCAAGCTTTTTCGTGATTTCCGATTTCTTTTCCAAGCCTTTTTCACCTTCCTCATCCATTGCTACCTTTTTAACTAGTGACTTATTTGGAGCTATGGCTCTTGACAGTTCCACAGTAGAGGCATATAAACAATACTTTAAAGTACAAAAACTCATCCACATTAAATCAATAAAGAGAAACACATAATGCTTCTCTAACAGGCAGACAACACAAAATTGAAGAAGCAAGGGACAGGAAAGAAGCATACAAGTAGCGAATTCCTACACTTTTCTGATAGCCCAAGTCGAAATTTTTGATGATTCCATCAAAATATTTTGATGGTTTATGCTGGCTTCAGTGTGATTTATGATGGTCCATCATCATTTGATGGTCCATCATCATTTGATGGTCATCATCATCCTACATTATGCTTTCATGGTTTTTGATACACCAACAAACTTCCATCATTCCATGATGGAAAAGACTACTTTAATACCATGATGTTTAACCATCAATAGAAGTTTGATTCTCATGAACCAACAATCCATGATGAACCGTGATAGTTCCAATTATACATTTCCATCATGGTTTAGAGGGTAATTTTGTTTGTTTTGAATATACCATAAAAATAATTAATTCGTTATTTTTTTATGTTAAACTCATCATAATTCAGTTCGAATTCCTTCACTGGGGTATCGTGGTTCATTATCGTTCCAACATTTAATTTCTAAGAAACTATGGTGGAAATTTCGGATGATTATACATGAACAAACCCTCAAAACAAGCTGGTATTCTTATGCTGGACCATCATAAATCAGTCCGAGTTCCTACTTTGGGGTGAGGACCACTTATGTTCATTTCCTTAAATATATGATGGTTTATGATGGAATTATTGATGGTTTCTAGCTAGATTATGTAGGTCAATTAATGGAAAACCATTAAAAAATTTTACTGGTGAGGATGCGCAGAGTTGAAGTGATCTAAAAATAATTCTTCTTACACCCCCCTGTGAAACAGATTCTCCAGTCAAGGGTATGTATCTTTTCTCACATGGTGACAAGCTTTTAATTTTTCTTTGCTTTTAATTTTTCCGAGAAAGACCTTTCCAGAGACAATTTTAAAAGCAAAATTTTAAGTGATAAGTTTAATGAAGTGAAACAAAATTCAACTACCTATAATTTACCAGAATTTTTAACATTAATTTTATGCTGAACTTCACAAAGAAATTCGAATTATTCAGAATTTCCAGTTAAGCAAGCTCGAATTACCCATATTTATTTCCGTTTGCAATCACAAATTAAGAAGGGAAAAAAATCGATGATTACTTTGTGTCTTCTGTTAATAACAATAACGAAGAGTAAAAAGGATTTTTAAAAGATTCCATAAGGTTATTTTTTCTCCAATGAACTTGTATTAGCAAAAAGATATAAATACTGATTTAGTTGCTTAACTATCATGTTTCTTTTCATACGTTTGTGCGTCTTTAATTACAAGTATTCTTAAGTACAGCAGTTTCCCTAATATTTTTAATTATAATTCATATGAATCTCAAAGGAAAGTTCCTAAATATTTGTGATAATTTAAAATTTTTAAATACCTTTTTTGAAAAAATACCCTTCAATCCATTTCTCTATCTCTAAATTTAACTAAAAAAATTTTTAAATAAAATTAATAATTTTTTTACCAATTTTTGCACTTAGAGTTATGGAAAAAGTTTCGAAGTCAAGTATTCCAGATAAAGTACTTCAATCAATCGTAAATACTCTCCAAAAAATATTTCCTGACCAAGATGTGTTAAAGTTTGCTGTACGTTCATCAGCAACAGGTAACTATTTAATAAGTATTAGATAAAAAGTATAATAATAAATATAAGAGTTTTTTCTTTAATAAAAAAACACTCAATATATTTTTCCAGTGTATATTTCATAAATGAACTCATAAAAATATACCTACCCTTAATATCAAAGGCAGTAACAAATAATAAATCATGAAAACTAAGGGCCATGAATAGTCCGTGGTCTATTCATGGACTACTCATCGATTTCATATAAAAGTGAACTTTAATTCCTCTTTTAATATAAACTCATGCTTGTGAAAATTGTAACACCATGAAGGACTTTCGCGAGTGAGCTGAAATTTTTAGGAAATGCAAAGTAGAGCATAATATGCAAATGATTAGAATTTCAGATCCGTATGCTGAGCAGCCCCCTCTGAACGGCGGATGGATCCGAATAAATAGACGGCTGTAGCGAGGCGTGTATGGTTATCGGTGGTTATCTGCTAGTGATAAATGTTAGCTCAGACGTTACTTATGCCTCTTCTACGATAGAGAACGAGATTTCAACAACTTACGGAGTTTGAAACGGGGAGAATCATCGGCCTTCGTGAAGCTGGATTGTCTTATCATGCAGTAGCCGCTCGTGTGCACCGTAACAGCAGCACAGTGATGCGTGTTTGGAAGCAGTGGACAGACGAGTGTCAGACAGCTCGGAAATCCGGGAGTGGACCCCGAAATGCCACGTCAGCTCGCGATGATAGACACCTGGTCCGCATGGCACTGACAGACCGTACGGCTTCCTCTAGACAACTGGCAGCACAGTGGTCAATAGCTACAGTTTCATTGTGTGCTTCATCAATTCGTAGACGTCAACTGCAGCGTGGACTGCACGCAAGGACTCCTTTATACAGGATCACCATCACGCTAAACCATAGCCGCATGCGGCTACAATGGGCCAATCAGCATATGGACTGGCGTGCTGATTGGCAGCGTGTTGTGTTTTCTGACGAATCCCACTTTAATTTGTGGTACCATGAGGGCCGCATTCGTGCCAGACGCTATGCCGGCGAACGACACCTTCTGGAGTGCATTATCGAACGCCACAGTGAACGAACACCCGGAGTTATGGTCTAGGGTGCCATAGCATATCATGGACGATCTCAATTGCTACGAATTGTGGGTAATTTGAACAACAACCGGTACAACAGTGAAGTTTTACAGCCCCAGGCTGTTCCCTTCCTTCAAGACTTGCCAGGCGCTGTATTTCAACAAGACAATGCCCGCCCTCATATTGCTAGGACTGTTCAATCCTTCCTTGCATTGCGGCAGGTACAGCTTCTTCCTTGGCCTGCGTATTCCCCAGATATGTTACCGATTGAACAAGTGTGTCATTTCGTTGGTCGGTCCCTCGCTAGTGATCCCCGTCCCGTTGCTTCTGCAGACGAACTTTGGGTACGCATACAAACTATATGGAATGCTCTTCCTCAGACAGACATTCAAAATTTGCTTGACTCCATGCCACGTCGTGTAGCAGCGCTTATTGCGGAGCGTGGTGGCTACACAAAATACTGATTTTGGTCTCTTGTTATTGTTTGTTTGCTTTGAAAGTTTAATCATTTATTTGTATCACTACCACTCAACTGTGTATTAAATTTCATTCAATTATGACGATTCCTTCATGGTGTTGCAATTTTCACAAACAGGAGTTTATATTAATTATTATATACATATAGCTTTTATATAATAATTATTATATATATAACTTAGAATATATATAACTTATAATAATATATTTCTGAGATTTTTTGTGCAAATGCCCAATGAATCAAATTTTGAAAAAGATTCTAAAAGTATACAGAAAGTTTGTTTTTCAAAGACATCTCTATAAATAATAGATTGAGTTGTTACCTGTATGAACGTAGCATAAATATTAATTTGCAAACTCTATAATCTAAACTAAACTAACTGATTACTAATATGAATTTTTCTCAATAAAGTTACACTACTTCACAGGATGTAACGAACTTTTTATTTGAATATATATAACTCCTCTACGGAGAAGGTAATGAAGTACGATTGAGCACACATCCACAGGGGCTCAAGAAAGATTTATCATCGGACTCTAATTAATTTCGAACAATATTATTTTTTTTACCGAAGTGTACATATATTCAAACAATAATATCGAATCCGTGATCCACAAAAGGTCACTGCCTACTATGGTTTGTGTGGTAAAGGCCTTTTGGGTTCGAACTTCTTCTATCCAAACTGCTCATTCCTTACGTCAGTGTTTCCCAAAGTGTGGTACGCGTACCCCCAGGGGTACGGGAACTTCAGGGGTACGCGTTCTTATGCGAAATATCTTGCAACAAACGAAAATTTCAAAAAATTTTATTTAAAAATAAAGTTAGCCATGAAAATTAACGAGGACGTATTTTTTATGGGCTATTTTTTACAGAATTAACAGTTAATAATTACTGGTATCAACAGCCAGTTGTGATTTCTAACTTTAGTTCAATTTTTTTATTGTAAGAAATACATTCCTTTTTTTATTAGTGGTACACAGCGTTACGAAAAATTTAGAAAGGGTACACAAAAGTCATAAGTTTGGGAAACACTGTCTTACGTTATCTGGACTTCTAGCCAGATTCAGCCAGATTGAGTTCCTCTCCATTATAGGATCATGTTAAACATTAGTTCTATAGACATCGTTCAAAAGCATTAAAAGAACTGTAAACAGATGTAACACGCGCTGTAATGTATATTTCGACAAGCCAATTGAAGAGGGTGGACACAAATTTCGAGACTTTCAGTCGCGGTCAATTCAAATGACAAATGTTTTGAGAAAATTATAGCATAATTTCTTTCTTGTGTGTAAATACTGAGAATTTGAAAAAAAATAAAACTCCTTCTTTAAAAATTACTCACAATAGTGTTTTTTTCTATACTCTGTGAAATACCCTGTACTTCAATAAGGGTGGATTCTTTTTAGTGCTAGTGATTTTAGCATTAAAAATAGATGAGCTATTAGTTGTGATGAAAGTTAAAATACAAATATTTCAGCACTTATAGCACATTTTTGTACATATCATACAGTTCTAACGTTATTATATAATTAGATTGAGTAAATTGATTTGTTGTGCAGGAGAAGACTCTGAAGGTATGTCTGCAGCTGGCCAAATGGACACCTTTCTAGGAGTTTCTGGACTGAGCAAGGTACTTCGAATTAATAAAATTGGCATTTAAGCAAAATAAATCGATGCAATTCGCAAAAACATTCGGAAGTTGTTTTTAAGTTTATAAAAAATTTGCAAATTTGAACAAATTATTAAAATGTATATTATGGTTATTAACTAATGTTTTTATGGAATTTAATATTTGGAACGCTTTTTTAATAACACTTTTTTTCTAAGAAAAAAAATATTACAACTCAGTATCTTAATTATATTGCAGTGCTTCAACTTTGAAGTATCAAGTATTGAGTTTCGGCATCCCAAGGATGTTGTAAAAATATTTTTTTTCGTTTTACTTCTAAACTTCTTCCTCATCAATGGCTCGACAGCCCAGGTGGGCTTTAGCCTTCTCAAGAAGTTTTTTCCAGACTAACCTTTTCCCTGCTAATGCTTTCCAGTTTTCAGTTTTTAAGACCAAAAGCTCCTTTTCTAGGCTATCTATCCATCTTGAATTCGGCCTGCCTCTTTTTCGTGTGCCAACTAGTCTGGCATTGAAAACTCTTTTTGTGGTACGGTCTTCATCCTTTCTGATTACGTGGCCTGTTCATTTTATTCTTTGTCGTTTAACGACGTTAATAATGTCAGGTTCATTATATGAGTGATAAAGCTTTAAATTTGTTCTTCTAATCCACACACCATTTTTTTTAAATTCCTTCAAAAATACTTCTCAAGACCTTTCTTTCGAAGGTACCCAACATAACCTCATCCGTACCAGATATCGTCCAGGTTTCACAAGCATATGCTAAAATTGGTCCTGAAAGAGATTTATATAATAAAACTTTCGCTTTCCTATAAATTTCTAAGCTTCCTCAATATTGCTTTAAGCCGCCATTTTGATTTGAATCGTTTTAGAAAACTAATTTTTAAATTTCACTGCTTGTACAATAAATGAATTTTCAGAATTTTCATTTATTCCATTCACTAATTACTTAAAAAATATGCTTACTTTTTCGATGCTAGAGTCCAACTTAAGAGTTGAAAATGTAGTAGCGATTCGCAAAAAAAGTGTATGAAAAAAATGGGGCACCTTGAATATCATGAATTTGCTTTTCTGTATCAATTTGCAACTGATAACTTTTAAAAAACAAAATAGTGTTCAGTAAACTAACTGTGAATATTGACTTTGAGTTCTTATAAAGTTATTTTGCCTTTCAGATTCTAACTGCTGTTAAAAAATGCTGGGCATCGCAATTTAGCTTCACTGCTGTGCAGTATAAAAGGTAGGTTGGTTAGCAACCAGTTCCCTTTCTTTTTGTCAATTAATTGGTAATAAAAACAATTTGTTAGAAATTAATCGTTTTACATTTCAACTACCCAAGGAAATTTTTCTGTTTAAAATGAAAAATGTTATTTCACATTAAAATATACTATTTATGCATATTTTATCTGATCTAAACTCATTTATACTTCATCGGCAGATATCTCATTGAAAAACTGCCTCCCTCCTTTATAAATCATTATAATATTAAGCTCGTTGAAAATTAATTATGATTTTACTTATTCAGTTATTAGTTTTTAATAAATAAATCATAATTAAACCATTTTTTAGAAATATTAATTATTTCAAATACTAAGTTGTATTTATAGGATTTATGAGATGCTTTAGTAATGCATGTCATGCTTTAGTAATGCAATTCTAGTATGCAATATTTTAGTAATGCGTGGCATAATGTCAGATGCTTATGTAAAAAAAAAAACAAATTTAAATAAAAAGGAAATCCTAATTGAATAAATTAAATCTGATTTATTTTAATTTTGTTTATTTTAAAAATGTAAGTTCGTATCCTGTTCTCTGTAAGTTCGTATTCTCCTGATAAGTTCGTATTTTTAATTTATTGAAATTTAAATGGTATTTTGGCATTGAAATCGCCATGATCAGGATTCTAATACAGGAATACCATCTTTCTTCTGTATATTTAGCGAACAAAGTTTCTTAATTTTTATTTCTCAGGCAGAATGGCCAGATAATTAATTCACCAATGGCGGTCGTGATACAGAAGATGGTACCATGTGATGTAGCTGGTGTTTTATTCACGTGTAATCCAATGACTGGAAATCCAACCGTCATAACCATAACCGCCAACTATGGACTTGGAGAGGTATGTTGTATGGGACTAGAGTTTTTGTATCAGATTTTCCTTTTATTTCCAAATTTTTTATTCATTTTCGCTAGTGAATAACATTTACTATATAGAACGTTAATCGAAATTCATTCTGATAAAAAAGGGGGAATTTTGTTTTAACTTCTTAAGAAATATACCGTACTGCAAAGAATAGGAAACATATAATGCAGTATATGTAAAATTTAAATTTCTATAGCTGAATAAGATTTTAAATTGTCTAAAAATATTCGAACTTTTTTTATTACTGAAATAATTTTTATCTCTAATAGACAGACATTTAGCAAATAGTCTTAAATCTGCAAGACCAGCGTAAATATAAACGAAATTCGGATGACAAGGTTGAGCAAGACGTTTATCACCATTATAAAGCAGCTGGCCCTTATAGTGCATTGAATGCGCGGAAGTGCACTAAAAAGAGAAAGGGATCCTTTCAATTAATGTGTTGAAATATACAAAATACGCTGTTTAAACCTTTTATTTTGCCACTGAATATGATTATTCCGACACATTTTAACATTGCTTCTTCAAAACCATGAGCAAAAACGAAAAAAAATCTTTCTGTTGAATTTCAAACCGTTTGCAAATTTTGATTGTTCTAAAGATTTATATTTAAAATTAAGGATTTTTTACTTTCACCCTCGGCCATTTTTGTTTAATGGGAGGTTTCCAAAGCCTTTCACACCAGATTTTTCCTCCGCTCTGAGAAAAAAATCCTATCAAAACAGAGAGAATTCTAATAATGAAGACCAAAAACTTACGATACTTCATAAACAAAACTTTAAATCATTTATTTAATACTTTTACTGTTCATTATGGTAGTAATTTATCAGAAATTCAAGTTTTTTAAATTATAGTTCGTATTAGCACATATTTAAAAAAAATAAACACCAAAAACTAAATGTAACAGAAAAAAATGGTAGTCATGGCATACTCGTAAGAATCAAAAAAAAAAAGAAAGAAAGAAGAGAATTGGACTGTTGGTCGGAANATCAAAAAAAAAAAAAAAAAAAAGAATTGGACTGTTGGTCGGAATGTATAATTAATTCGTTATGCCATTTATTCGGTAATTTTAAGATTTTTATATCTATTCCTTTTACCAATAAGAATGGCAATAGATCTTATAATCCACTAGCTGATTCATTCTTCGTATGAAGTAAAAAAAGAGTAAATAAAAAAATAATAAACATTATTATTCCAAATATTTATTTATTTATTGCTGACGTACGCATGCAGTCTTGTGTGCTCAGTACAAAATGCGGTTTCTAAGCTCTAGTCAAGTTGAAGAACATATAACATAAGTTAGAGAAGGACATTGCAAAGATACAACGGGGTCAATGTGCTCGAATCCCATTGAAACCCTGAATGTTTCTTGCGAAATCTATCTTGTGCTGTCTGTTCTTCAACATGATAAGGGCTTATAAAGCTCAACTTTGCATTGAGTTTTAGAAGACTGCTTATGTATGCATTACAATGAATAAAGACATGCATGCAGGGTTGTGATGGGATTCGAGCCAGCTACTTACACGCTTTATTTTTAGGATTATGGGATAACCTGATATGTAACAGTTAAGTTATTGATTTTGTTAAGCATATTTCAGGCATTTTATGCATACAAATTCTCATATTTGTATAGTTATAAATGTTGGTGTATGTTAACTTTTAGCTGTAAACTGGAAATAAAATTTACCCATCATAGAGGTTACTGAACTAAACATCTTTGCGTTACCTCAAAGCATACTGGAACGAATTAAATTACAGATTCCTTTGATAAAATTACCAACTTTAACCAAAATTTTAATAATTTGGTAACATTACCAAACTTTACCATATTACCAGCATATTAAAAAAAGCATATTTTATTTTCAATTTTAATCAAAGTCATTACTAATGCATAGCAGTAAAAGCTACCGTATATTTTGGAGATGCCATAGAGCTGAAAAACACGGTAAATATTACCATATTCAGGCAGTTTTGATCACACTTTTTCCCCAAGAACGACTAGCTTACAATTTCAACTTAAAACATTCATTGCATATTATACAATTAAATTAAATATTTTAAGAAATTTAAAATTTTAAAACTCGTTTTAAAAGAATTTCCTTTACATACTAAATTCCGTAAAATATTTAATTAGATAAATTAATTTTTATTCAATTTTTAATTTTTTTTTTGGTTATTTTATTTTAGTCAGTTGTCTCGGCTTCTGAAGAACCAGATACGATAGAAATAAAAAGAAATCCAAATGATCAACTATTTATAATGAACAAAGTCATTGGGGCTAAAAATCGACGTACAGTTGCGGCTCAAGGTAAAGTAAAATCAAGCATGTGTTATATCAGGTGTAATGCTCTGTTATAAATTAAATTATAAATAAATCTGTATCCAAATATACAGGTTGTCCTTTACGAACCTCTAGGGCAAGTAGCATCATGAGAACTCATAATTGCTTATAAATTCACGACCAGAAATGTCCAAAGAAAGTGATAACAGCGGTAGAAGATTTGAAAAGACATACCATAGAGTATAGTGTGCAAAATAAAAAATGCGAGCACCTTGAATAACTTTTGATAGGAGTTCAGCGTATTAGGATTTAATCCTTATTTCGATGGGTTAACCTTAAATATGCTAATTAATTTGTACTAATTGATATCTTAAGTTACGAAATCAGACTCAAAAGAGTACTTTCTTTGAATAATTTGGTTGAGGTTAATTGGATATGGTTATGGAAAATTTTAATATGGATATGGATTGTAACAGACAGATATGGATTGTATTGTGTAAATTAGTGAAATAAATTGTGGAAATTAGTATAATGGTGCATATAGTTTGACACCATGAACCATAAAAAATTGCCGACAGTCTATTATAGTGTTTTTACTTGCTTCGTGAAATATATACAGAGAGCATAATAAGAAATGAAATATCTTCATGGATTTTAATCTAATAATTTATTTGATTGACTAAACTTTTTAATTTTCGAAATTAATTCAAAAATGCATTTTTTTTTCTGACTTAACTTACCTTTTTTGCGACGAATTTGTTAATCCTCAAAATATGGAATCATGGTGCGCAGTTGGGAAAGTGTTGTTCCAATAGTTTAGACAAATGAGCGGCAGAAAAGTTAGGTACATTTAATGTCAACTTTCTGCATATTTGGCTATCTCATAACAGACATATTTTCAAATTTATTTCCCAAGAATTAATCTACTGATTCCCTTTTAACTTAAGATTTTGTCATTTAATACTACAAGAATTGACTTCGAATAAAAACTTATTCATCTTAATATTGAAGCTTTTTAACTCATTGAAATAAATAATAAATACTTTTTTCACGGAATTATTGTTGGACACGCATGTTTTTCAATCGAGTGAGAAGAAAATTTGATTCGCTTGTTTAGTTCCAGATGTATACCGAAAGATGCAAAAAGTTTAATTATTAGGATAACATTTCCCAGATTATGCCTGCATCGATATTTTTGCAGTTTAATACAGTAACATTAAAGTTTTATATAATAACATTATAATTGACACTATGCTGTGCATTTACAACCCTTAATATCGTTAAAATATATATCTAATATATATAATTCTCTTACGTGGCTCCCAAATTTTGGTTGTATTTCTTTTCCGCCGGTGGCAACGCTTGCTTTGTCTTGTTTACGTTACTATTTCTCTTAAACTATTTCTCTTAAAAAAAGCCTCATTACAACTCCCCGAATGGCAGTGCTAGAAAATCGACCAATGATTGCCGCTAAAAATGTCGCAAGCCAAATCTAGCTGAGGTAGCTCAACATATACCGATTTTAAAAACGGAAGCTGAAATAACCAAAGAGCATCAGCTGCGGCAATCTCATACTATTAAGCTAGGCAGAAGTGAGTAGTCTTTGTCGATAGATCTCCATTTTAGTATTTTGTCGAAAGCGCTTTTTTTCACGAATTATACAAATCACGAAATATTACAAATTTATTTGACGATTTTTGATTTATATCACGAATATAAATCAAATAGTATAATAATCATATACTATAGCACATTTCTAATAGGTTTAACGAATTACGTGTCATTTATTTGAATTCAAATTTATTTTAATGACTAAAAATATGTAAATTTTTTTTTTAAAAAAAGTTTTTATATGGATTTGAATGATTGTTTTGAATTCTTAAAATTTTGTGCATTTGTAATGTACCTCAGTTAGTAGCGAGCGAAGCGAGCTTGGCTTACGAAGCAAACCATATAAGATTGCGTGGCAATTTTCGGGGATTAGCGAGCGTTAACGAGCAGGGGCCGCAGCCCACTAGTTTTTATATATTTTTTTAGATTTCTTGAATAAAATAAAGTAAGAAAAATAGAGTCGAAGGTCGAAAATTTTGAAAAGTAAAGTAAGAATTCTAGTTGGAATTGTGAATAGATACTATTACAGTACGGGTAAAATTATCGCACTGTTGAAAAATGTAACAGGAATTAAGAGTAACCTAACAGGACAGTAATTTAAGAAATTGTACTTCAAAACTCTATTGAGAAAAGACATATGTCATGTGTTCATTGCAGATATGCAACATGGTAGCATAAAAGGATAAGGACAAAGATTATAAAATACCCATGTTAATATTAGATGTGTGATGTTAGATGATTATTTGAAACTTTGTGAATAACTTTTCCTTTAAAAATGTTATCCTGTATCATTAATACCAAGTAGGCCTCAAATGTGGTTTAATCAATTTGATCTAACATCATTAATACCAAATATATGATCTATTGTATCCATGATTTGAGCTACGATAACATCGCTAATACCGTGAAAATAACCTATGAACCGTGGTAGCTCAGTGGTTCGAGAATTGGACACCGGTCCGAAAGGACGTCGGGGTTCGATCCTCAACTTCAACTAAGACCAACCAAGTACATTCGATTCACGTGCTCGTAAACTCTGTGGAATCAACAGTTTATTTAATTTGATCGTTCGCTGATAGGCATCATATATGCATCAACCAGAATCTCTTATTTATAGTTTAGTCAATAAACTCATAAGGTAATTCATTACTGCTGTTCTATAGTCGTGATGGTCAATTATAAACGAAAATTTTAATTAATGAGGAATTTAAATTCAAAATTTTAAAAAGTTTTGCAAAGCAACCTGATATGAAACAAACTTACCAATACTGAATTTTAATGTAGCTTATTTTATTAAAATAATTTAGATATGGACGGAACTCGTTCTGAGGACGTTCCTGCTGAAAAACGACAAGATTGCTGTCTACCTGATGAAAAAGCTTTAATGTTGGCGGATTTGGCTGTTACGGTTCGTATTTTAGTGTTTTTAAACATTTCTCAGTTCATAAATGATTTTTCTTACAAGCATATGTTTTTTCAGGTAGAAAAATACTACAGATTACACCAGGATATCGAATGGGGTTTTTGGAAAAATGGCTTGTATATTTTTCAGGTACATCAGATATTTCCAATCAAATTAAAAAAAGCATTAAATTTAACAATAAAAAAATATTTGTGTTTCTGAATAATTTAATAAAAATTTAGGGATGTAATATGATTTTTTTTATTTATAAAAACATTTATATCGTTAGTCTAAATTTCAATAATTAATGGTATAAAAATTAAGATCTAGTTGTACATACTGAAAGCTAAATTTTGGTGATTTTTTTATTTATTTAATGAGTAAAATGCTCAGTATGTAAAAATTTGCTTGTCCTATACAGTCTAGGCCTGTAACAACCGGTTGTGGGGAAACAGATTTCGAAATTGATCATGAACTAGATGCGCCAATGAGAACTGAAAATGAGTTTTTTTCTGTTACTAACGTTGCGTAAGTACTTGATATTTTCATATATGCTTGCATACATTTGGAAAATAAATTTTATGCATTCATGTAAACGTCTTCATTGAATATTATATATATATATATATATATATATAATATTCAATGAAGACGTTTACATGAATGCATAAAATTTATTTTCCAAATGTATGCAAGCATATATGAAAATATCAAGTACTTACGCAACGTTAGTAACAGAAAAAAACTCATTTTCAGTTCTCATTGGCGCATCTAGTTCATGATCAATTTCGAAATCTGTTTCCCCACAACCGGTTNTATGTATATGTTCGAAATTTAAAAAAAATCAAAAAACTTTTTGAAATTGGATTTAATTTAAAAATTTTAAATTAAATGACAAACATACGTCAGTTATAGTTCATTATTTAATTTGATTTGTTGACAAATTTTTATTATGTTTTAGAGAAGTTATGCCTGGTGCAATGTCTACCTTGAGCCTTGACGTTATTCCCAAGTATCTTCAACTAATGAATTTGGTAATCCGAAAATATTTATTTTAACAATCCTAAACAGCAGAGATTACTCTTTGAAATTATAAATTTAGAAAATTAATTACTTTGCAAGATATATTATTTTATCAATGTAAACTGTAATTTGAATTTCGTGATTTGAATTTTGGATTATAAATTTTGTGATTTTCGAAATAGTGTCTGCAAGGAACAAAGAAACTAAAATGGAAACATTTAGGGTACCTACTAAAGTCTGGAACCTCCCTTTTAAATTTCAAACAACTTCATAGGATACAAAAAGTAGTGTCTGGGTATAGTAAAGTGACTATAACCTGCTTGATAAGGCACCCAACAGCGCTACAGTTAAAATCTTAGTATTCTTAACATAGTGCAAAATCTATCTATAAATTTAAAATATCGTGAGCCCTGTTGTTTTGGGTCTTCACTTTTATGTTAAATTTGGTTTTTCTACGCAAAAACTGAATAATTTAAAAACTTAAAATTACTATGGTGTGTAGAAAAATGTACAAGCATCAGGATGCAAAAAAAAATAACATTCGATAATTAGTTCGAGAATATAACTATTACAGTAGTATAACTGAAACTGTTCTTAGTATAAAAAAGTGCTTTTTTCGCTTTTCATTTTTTTGCTTTAATTAATCACTATTTATCCATTGTTGTAGAAATTTTTTACTCAATTTCTTCATTTTATAAGCTCGTGCTTAAGTTGATGTCAAATATAAGAAAAAATTATAAATAAAACAAAATAAAGTAAGAGAGTGAAAAACTAGCTATTGCTAGATAAAAATCTTATAATTTATACCGAAATTATGATGAGAAATAATAGAAGACTGGACAGATGTAAAAACGCTTTCCAATTTAAACTGTCATGTGATTTCAGATTAACGTTAGATATTGTTAATAATTAAAATTACTATTCGTTTGTTGCTTCGTATTGTGTTGCACATTTTGCATTTTTAAGTTTTTTTTTTCTTTGAAGTACATTCTATTTTCCAAGCAATCATTCATTTCATTACTGTTTACATATTAACAAAATGTTCTTACAAAATTTATAGTAATTATATATTTTTGAAACAAAATGATCTTTTTTTAAAAAAAAATTATCGACTTTTCAGAAAAATTAATTCATAATGAATGAAAAGCATCCATGTAGGTTGATAAGTGGAGCCTCCTAGTGCAAAGAAAGTGAATAAAAAAAAATTATGGAACATCATCGATTTAATATGAATAGGCGAGCCGTGGTATACCGGTGGTTAGAAGCTCAGTTTTCGGGCTGGGGTTCAATTCTCAAAAGCTGTTAAGACCCACCGAGTGCATGCTCACGAAATTTGTGAAGTCAAAAGTCTTGTAATTGGTAACTGAGCAGTACTATGGGTACAGCAATCTGGAAAAAATTTCCTTCCGCTTCAGGTCTACGTCTAAATTAAAGTAGTCTCACGAATGAGTGGTGCTGCCATCTATCCGAGGGATTCTGAGTTAATTTTCCCTTTCACTCTAGTTGTCATACAGAAAGTAATCCCTTCTTGGCTTAATTCAAAAGTTCAAAGGCTGATGAGCTCGTCTTATCCAAGTTTTTTAAGAAACAACAACAACGAATAGATAGCTTGAGGACATTACTACTATGGAAAGAAGACTTGAAATGCTTGAACTGACGAAATTATCAGTGAAAAAGAAAGTTATGTCAGGATACCTCGATTTCTTCTGTTTAAATTTCTCGTAAACTTTGCAAGTAGTTTTAAACAGGTATAGAATGATAACTAGTTGTTTTCTTTTCTTTTTTAGACGATTCCCTCGTGCTGAAATGTAGGAAATCTCGAGCAAATGCGTGTTTTAATATTTTTTTTTAATACCATCAATGCATACAATCTTCCTATAAATTAAAATAATAGTATTTATAGCATAACCTTCAATATACCAAGACAACATGTAGCTATAACTGAAGATGTTCTCAAGTTAAGTCTGTTGTTGTATGTTTTAGTGGACACCTTGCATAAAAGAAGTTAATTGATTCAGTTTAGATTTTTAAAACTTTGTCATTCGTTTTTTCCTTATGTTTAACTGAAATAAAGTTTTACTTTTTCGAAATTTCTACTTTATTGTTTGAAGAAGTGGTTTTCTTATTTTCGATTATCTACTACACTGTCAAAAGTTTTAGCGTATAGTAGCCACCGTTTTTGGTGTTGAAGTGAACAAAAATTTTTACTATGCTTGAAATCACATTTATTATTTCTTTTTTCAATGTTATAGTTTTCCTAATTTCTTTATTCACTTTTCGTTTGTTTCTTTACTGATATGACATATAGTTTGTCTAAGCTAAGAACTCCTCCCACCACAAAGTCTGAAGTCGTCTGGTGCTATGGAAACAAGAATGGTGCATTTTAAGGAGGGTAGCTCCTCTCTAGAACTAACACAATAGACCGAAAAAAGAGATTCCCTTTCTCTCGCTGACTCGAGTCGAAACCACTCCAAAACAGTGACCCTGCACCCCTACTAGAAATCGTCATACCTTGTTACCATAGTCACCACCACAGGTCCAGACGAATGTCTGGGGGAGTTCTTATTTTAGACAAACTATATTTTCATGGGCATTTGAATTAATGTATGGGTACATTGCAGAAACATTTCGTATAAAAAACAAACGCATTTCTTATTATATAGTTTCGCTAATTCTTGCAAGCAATTATTATTTTGACAATTTTTTATAATTTTTTGCATGATTATTACAATTCTGTACCTAAAAATGAATTTAGTTTACCACAAGACCAATAATGGTGGCAACTGCACACCAATTTTTCTCTTAAAAAATATAATATTTAATTATAATATTAAGTGTTTCAAAACAATTAAATTTTAATTAATACAGTGTACGATATAAAGTTGGTAAAGAGTGTTTTGCGCATTTTTCTTAAATATTTCGGTCCTTTCCGGTATTGAATATATGTTCAATTGTCACTGTATTAACTTCCTGTAATTATACTTATTTACAATAAAACTGCTATTTTTTTAAAAAATAAAAATATTGATGTTCTAATATTTACAGAGAGATCCTAAAGCGCAATGGATAACTATGGTTCCAACAACTTATTTTCCACAAAATATGGTTTCAATGCACAGCCGAATCATGTTCTACCTCTGTAATGTAAGTTTCTCTTGAATATTTCCCTTTTTTATGCTTAGCAAACACAAATCCTGCATACATAAAATATCAACTTTGATATTTGTAGGAAATTAAGAACGCCGCGTATAAGCGTAATCTTTAAGCTATATTAATCTTATAGCTCATATTCAAAATAATTGATTTTCAAATTTTACGTTACCCTAATCTGAGTCTTTCTTTTAAAAAAAAGCGTTAGGGAAAGATCATGAGACCACTCCTGAAACTAAAATTAAAAATAAATAAATAAATAAAATCACTCGTGTTTTAGTTATATGAAATATTCTAATTTGTAAACATTTGACAGGCAAATGTTTAAAAGTAAATCAGAAATGGTTTTCCAATGCTATTTGAAGTAACACATGCGTTGATAACATGAGGGAATAAATTTTTTGTTGCATTTATACAAGCACTTGATCTATCTAATGTGGGGATTTCAAATAGTTAGTGCAGCTTATTTTCTGGTCTGAATGTACAAATTTATAAAGAACGCATAGGTTTATATACATAGATATACACTTGTGTGCCCTTTGAAAATAATACTACAGACCATAAACATATGACCTTTGCGTATGAGATCATAAACTGAAACGTATTATAGCGTTCTATCTATCGCTCCCTACGTAGCAAAGAAGTGAGGATACTTAATATTCACTCTAGGAAATTTTAAGTAATCCTGGTAATGAATATATTATTTAATTGGATAAAAACTGTGGCTTGCTTAAAGGAACCAATTGCGGATTTAAAATCAGCGACCCGAAAATATCTAAGATCTTCTCAAAAATCTCATGTCACAGAAAACAAAAAAGCAAATGAAAAAAGCTTCCTAGTTTAATTATTGAGCACACAATTTTCAATACAAAATAAATCTTACCTAAATTACAATTTTTTAGTGTTAAATGCGTCAAATTTTTGTTTCAGAATAACGCACTTTAAATTTGTAATGGCATGGTTATAAATATTCTAGTTAAACAAATATTTTTGCTTTAAATTTTTTATTCAATAAACTACGTTTAATTTTGCTTTATTCAGAGAAATTATTTGTAAAAAGAAAGATAGATTCAAATTTCACAATTGCTTAATTTTAAAAAAATATTATAATTAAATGACGTGTTGTTGTTCGTTTGAATCTTGGTTTAGGCGCATGTCAGCAATTTTATGCACATTTGCTTACTTTCGTTCATACTTAATAAAGGATATGTTTATCATTTATTCTAGTTTTTCCAGCCCAATACCGAAGATAGTGATTTTGTCAAAGTGTCTAATGTCACCTTTTTCGGCAGAGTGGTTGAATGCGAGGGATTGTATGAAACAGTTAGGTACAGATTTAAAAATGTGAAAAGAGATTTTGTTTCAAAATACAAGCCACTCTTGGGCTTTACAAAAGTAAGTATGAAAAATGACAGCAATAAATCATAACCCAATCACTAAAGTTGCATGTTTTAAATACGATATTTATCATTATAACAGATGTTAAGTGGAAGCAAAATGCTCAAGAAAGCATCCCTTAAATATGACAATTTTCGTCTTCCTTTAGAAGAATGCAACACATCTCAAGAGATGCTGGAAGTTCTGCTGCATTCATGTACGGACTTAACGGAGGTTTGTAAAACGAAATTAAAAATTTACCAGATAAAAATAGAATTTTTGTTTTGCAAAGATAAAATTTCTTTCCAGCATTATTTAAATTTTTAAAAGTTTAAGAACATTATTTATGAATGTTGTATATTCACACAAGTCGCAACCATTTTTAAGTCACATCAATTACGAGTGGTCTTTTCAGCTTTGACGCTATCATTATATACAGCAAAAACTTTTTAAGATGCCTTGAAACCTTGATTAAAACCAAAAGGAAAATGCACATTTTTCTCAACTAAACATTAAAATGTTTTTTTAATAACTTAAAAACTAGCATTAATTAACTCGAACAAAAAGAAAATTCCTGTGGAACAAAACATCTTCCGTCGAATGATCTAAAAAAGTATGAGGAAAAACCTGCTGTTTCCTTGTCTTCTGAATTGGGTTCAAAACTACAAGGATACGGAGTTGAACATTGATTGTTGTGGACTGAAAATTCTGCCGGCTGTTCAATGACGGTTATAAGATTCATTCCAAGAGCCGTGGTAACTCAGCAGGTAGAGCACCAGCCGTCTAATAATGAGACCCGGGTTCGAAACGAATTCCACACCCGATTCACACCGATTATTAGTCGTAAACTCAAAACTGGGTTCGGCAGTTCAGCGACAGTCATAAAATTCATAATTAACAATTAAATACAGTCAGACCTCTATTTAACAAAGTTGATAAATCCCGATAATAAGTCCGTTATATAGAAAATTCGTTAAATAGAAAAACACCTTTTGACATACTTAAGCAACACGAAATAGGTTTTAAATTCATAAACACTGGACATAATTAGAATAGCAAATTGATACACATTTATCTTTTAAACTTAGTATCTACTATTTATTTTATAAATCTTAGCCGTAAAAGAAATCTGTATGGAAAGCAAGAAAGGAGCAAAACATTATCCAGTGTTATATTATCATGCTACATACATTTTCAATTAAAAAAAGCTAAATTTATGTATAAAATTATAACTGTATTTATTTGTTGTATAAAAATATAACTGCTAAGTAATTTCAAACATACATTACCACATGCATTCTTATGTTTAAATGCTACTGATAAAATTCGTTAATTTTGNATGGAAAGCAAGAATGGAGCAAAACATTATGCAGTGTTATATTATCATTCTACATACATTTTCAACTAAAAAAAGCTAAATTTATGTACAAAATTATAACTGTTTTTATTTGTTGTATAAAAATATAACTGCCAAGTAATTTCAAACATACATTACCACATGCATTCTTATGTTTAAATGCTACTGATAAAATTCGTTAATTTTGTCTGAGCTTTTCGTTTGAAATGCAAGCAAAAGGGGAAAGGGATTTTACTGCTTTCTCTAAAAGTTGAGGGGGCTTCGAAAATCAATTCAAGGTCATTTCCTCTATAAAATGCGTTAACATGTTTGAAATGTTCTAAAATATTTTGGGAAATAGGAAAAGTGGATCTCAAAGAAAATTTCGTTAAATAGAAAATTCACTTCTCTTTTTGGAAGTTATTTTACTCAGAAATTTCTAAAATGTTCTTGGTTCCTAGTAAAAATTCGCAAAATAGAGAAATTCGCAAAATGGAAGTTCGTTGAATAGAAGTCCTAATGTACATGAAATTAAGTTTAGTTAAATTCTTGTAAGTGGGAATTTTATTAAAAGATTTTTCTTGTCGAGAAAATACTTTAATTCTGGCAAAATTTGAATTTTTTTTTCTCCGTTAAATTAAAAAAAATTTTACTGAGAAATAAGTATCAAATTCTGAAAGTAGAGAAACCCTTCAGTGTTTTGATACGCGTTTTTAATGTATTAAACATTTTCTAGAACTTATGATTTTATTAATCATCCAAATCTTAAAAGTGTCTTTAGTATGGTTTTGTTATTATTTAACTGTAATTTTTTTTTAACATTTAAGCAAAATCACAAAAATAATAAATGAATAATAATTTTGAATGAATAATAAACTTAAAATACTGACACTTTAAAAAAATACCATATAAATTTGTTTATAGGCAATGGCGTGTCATGCAATTAACACCGGTATATCAATGATCTGGAATATGTTCATGCTATATTTTCTGAAAAAACGCAGAGGAGGTATTTATTTTTCATTTTAATTCTCTTTTCTCTGATTTTAAAAGTACAAAGATGTTTAAACAATAAATTCATCATTTGTAGTCTGTAAATAAATAAATTCATAAAGCTCTTAAATCCTTTAAAAACTTGGTTTTTGCCCAAACCAAAGCTTGAAAATTATCCCTGCAAAATATGTTAATGAATTTTTACTTTTTATCTAGACTCAAAGTAGGATGCGATACGTGATTTTTTCCTTTATTTCATTCAATTAATATTTATTTTTTTCTTTCCTCTATTCAACATCTTTCAAAAATATAGCAGCAAGTTAATTTTTTTTCTTTGAGTAAAACATGAAAAAGGGTTCGATTCGTGTGTGAATTTTTGTTTTTCTTTTGCTTCATCTCCCATTTCTTTAATAAATTTAAGGACTCAAAACTTTTTTTGTCATTTTGGTCATTAAATGTCCTTAAAAGTATATTAGTCACAATCATGATTAACAGGGTAATAATCATGTCCCAAAATTTATCCTAAAATTTTATCAAATTGAAATCTTATAGTAATGTCTAATGTATTATCAGATTTCCGTTGCTTTGGGAATTTTTATTTTTAAACATGGAATTTAACGGAACTTTAATTTGCAGGACTATAGATATCTTTGTACCTAGTTTTATAAAATTTGGGAAAGGTAGAATGGAAAAATGAATGAGCTGGTTCATTCAATATGTTTGCTCAAATATGTTTGATTGAAATTATCTTTAATAAACAAGTTTTATTATTGTGTGCACGAATTTTTCGATTCGCTTAAATTAAAAAGTTCTCGAGATATGGCAAAGTACGCAAAAATTAACATTAAGGAGGACAAACTTTCGACCGCTCTTCTGATCTAAGTATTGAAACCATATTTTCCGAATTAAGGCTACTCCTAATCTTTAATCCAAATCCATGGAAGGAAAGGTGTGAAGAAAGGTTCAGCGGAAGTACATTTTTGTGTCATATTTTGTAATTTAAAATACCGTCTGCACTAATTAATTAGTGGATTTAAGTTAATGCTCTTGAACCATTAAGATTAAGTCTTAGTACAGGGAGATCAGATCATTGGATCAAAAGTAATTTGAGGTGTTCTGTTTTTATTTATTTATTTTTTTTATTTACTTAATTTTTTATTCATATTTTTTATTTTTGTGTGCATTGAATTACATTCTTTTTCAATAGAACATAAAGTTAAAGGAAATTGAGTCAATAGTAATTATGTTGAAAAGAATTATTTTTGAAAAATAATTTATGTATTTAAAACACAAAAATTAGCACTCTAAACTTCTTATAAATTTTTAAAATACGATAGAGACAGATACGTCTTAAAATGTTTTTAAAAAAAAATTATGTTGGTCGAAGGAAAATATAAACTGGTAATTTTTGTTTGACTTTGAAATTTCAGAATTAAATGCTGATGTTTATCGAGATTTTGCAAAACTGGTACAGGCAAAAAGTGACGTTATAAGTGCCGATATACCAGCAGCTAGTGAAGTAAGGACATATAATTTAATTTCATTTCACTAATAATTAAGCTTGAATATCATATGTAGTTGTTGAAAGTTTTATAATTAATTTAAAACAATTAATTCCTTTTTTGCGCTTCCATTTTACCATTTTCAAAGCATAGGTGGTTAAACTGTACTAAATTCTTTCTGATAGATATAGATGTGTGTTTCAACAACAATCTTATAAAAACTTATTATTTTAGAGAAATTAAAGGATCACTTTTAATTACTTTACATTTATAATATTTCACAGTTACATTTATAACATTTCAGGCATTCAGTTACATTTACTTATTTTAAATTATTTTTGCATATGAATCAATAATATACTCTCTAACCATAGAATTTCGCCCGATACAAAATATAGGGCTGTCTACGGATTTGAGAGCAAGGCAAAGTGCATTGCCTATTTGAAATAGTTTAACGTCGTAATCATAGTCACCGACAATGCTTTAGACAACTGACAAAGGGAGTTCTTTAGTTTGACAGACGATGGAATGCTCAAAATTTACACTGGATTTAAATATTGTATGCATCATTAAATTCAAAAAGACTTTAGAATTTTAATTATTAATCAACATTCAATAAATATTATGATAAAAATTAGGCATGTGCTAATTTATCTGAAAGATGAGTTATACTTAACTAATACCTGAGCGACTCCGTCTCTGCTCTATAACACTCAATCCAGAATCTATTAAACTCATACAAAGCTTTCATAATAATAAGTACTGTCTAGCAATCACAAGATAAGCTCTCAGTCGAGTTTCGTTTAGCAAAGTCGGGCATTATATTCACTCGTTAAATTTTCATTGTGCATTCAAAAATGAGTGAAATTTAATAAGGATAACCGATATGAAATGAGTCGCAGGGAGATATGTTATTGTTGATAAAAGCCAACCTTTGACTATCAATCCTTTAGGTCTCGAGCTCTCTAATATTTTTGGAGCAGATCATTGAAATTTTGAGTTCGCAAGGAAGCACAAAAAAAAATCTGTGAAACCCTACTTTAAAGTTACATGATATTTTGAAAATAACTCTGATTCCATTAAAGATATTTAAAATGTTGGATTTTGTTTCAGCGCCTAGCATATTATATCGGAAAAGAGAAAACGCAAGACGAGTTTAAGAAAATGAATGTTAAAGTATGTGGACATTGTTTGATTTTCAAAAATTAAATATTTTTATAAGAAACATTTATAATGAAAACTTCATTTTTCAGGAAATCAGAGAATGGCTTGAAAATTCTCAGACCATGGCTGGAAACAAATATCGAGAATTTTTGGCTAAGCATGAACACAGGTGCTTAAAAGAGGTATATGGCAATTTTTTAATCATTTAACATTTTATAAAGTTTTTCACAAATACGCATCATATAGTATAGCAATGGAAGGTGTTTTCAAAACAAAAGTAACCATAAACAAACTTTGGAAACTCATCCATTTTTGAATATGCTTGATTTTTAACTCGTATTTTAAAAAATTACATTCCCAAACAAACGTATGCACTCAAATTAGGCGTCGCAAGTTGATTCAAGAGCAAAACAAAAAACACTCTCGAACTCTGCCTAAATACTTGTGAGGAAGGTAGAATAAAAAAAACGTCAAAACCAGTTCAATTGTTTGAAGAAACTTCGAAGTGATTCTGGTAATTGCCTTACTATTCCTTTCGGATCTCTAATTTTTCTTCTTTTTTTTCCTTAATGTAAGGCAATTTATTTTAGAATAAGTTCGATTCTCTATTAGAAATTATACAAAAGTAACAAAAAAAATTATGAATAAATTATTATTTATAAAATAATTATCTCTAAATTAGTTTATTAAAATAGCATAATGAGCTACGCGTAAAAAAAGCATTATATTTAGAACAGCATAAAGGGCTTAAGAGTATTTAATATAAAATTACTTCAAATTATTATTTTTGCAGAAATAACTGTCAAGATTCGAGGCACCGTAAGGTATCTTGTTTCGGGATCAGGAAAAAATTTTTTAACATTAAGTATCTAAAATGGTTCTAATTTTTAAAAATGAAAAATTTAAAAGATTATTTTTAGAAGTCAAATTATTGCCGGCCCTACGACCCTGCGAAGCCAATGGTTGCGAATTCGAATCTGACTCAGGGCATGGATGCTTTGTGTTGTCCTCTGCAGTCCGAATGTGGCCCATGGTATGAATGGGAATCTGTAGCAGTGTGGTGTGGGTAATGTTGCTGGCCTACGTGGTTTAGGTTCTTAGGGGCCAACCGGGTAATATTAAATGAACAACACTACCGGCGTCTTAGAAGTTCAGTGCTTTGTTAAAAAATGAAGTATTTGAATTAAAAGTTTTTAATTATAGTAGTCTTACTTTTAAAGGAAAGTGGGAAAATTGCATTAAATGAATCGTAAACAAATAAATCTAAGCATAAGATGTTTAGATTTATCTAAACTTTAAGATGTTTTCGAACCAAATTACTCCAGGAGTTTTAAGAATAAACAGAGTTCTGAAAAAAATACTTATTCCGAAGGGATAGCGAATCAATTTAGTTTCACTTCATTGTCAATTATAGAAAAAAATATTTACTTCAAATAACTGCTTTCAAATTGTATGATAAATATTTTGAATCATTTCAGTTTGACCTCCGAGCGAAACCATGGGGTATGGATCCCGATCCTCTGATAAAATTATTGAAAGTAAGTAATCTGGACACCAAGTGAATTAAATGAATAAGTTTACGTGTACGCAATATTTATCTTGATATGATTGCACACACTGAAATAGTTTCTTTTTCATGTATGTTAATTTTTCTAATCCTTTAAATCTTTCTAATCTTTCTTTTTCAGGTATGTTGTAGATTTAAAATATTTTAAAATTTATTAGATTGGTTCAACTATAATTCTTTTAAGACTAAATTCATGTTTGAAAATAAAGCTATTAAAGTAAAAGCCAGCTTTTAAAATTCTTTCTTATAAAAACTAAATTAATCTGATCGTGTTCGTAAATACATTTATTTACAGTAACAACTAATTTGAAGTAAGAATATGTTTGTGAAGCAGACTATTTCATTTTATGAAAACTGTAAGATATTTTGTGAGCTAAACAGATTAAAAACTGAAAAAGCAGCGATTTTAATCGAAGGTCATGGTTAAACTATTTCTTATGACCTTAAGTCTTTGCTTTCTACTGCAAATTAAATAAAACTCTTTCAAAAGATGCAATTGAATCTTGACCTGTCAAACAAAAACTACAAAGTTTCAAGTCAATAAAATTAAAACTACAATATTAAGATGACGTTATACGATGTTAGATACCATTCATGGAAAATTCTTTTTCGCCAACATCATAAGTTATTTAAAATTTAAAATAGAGAAAAAATGAGTTCAGATAAACCTAGAATAAACCATAAAGCCTCAAATGCTGAAAATATTTCAAAATATCAAAATGTATGAAAATTATGGCGGTATTGAACAGGACTTCGCAATAAGTAAATGATCCTGCAAAATTTGTTTGTCTTTTGAAAGTTTCTTTTTAGCATTGGAAACTTCATGGTTTTTTCAAGATTTACCTGAACTCTCTTATCTCTAAACTTCAAATTTTAAGATACCAATTGAGGTGAAACAGAATGTGTCATGAAATGCGTCCCACGTGGTAGAGCGTCCTACGTGGTCCTCCTAACCCTTTGCTACAGAATTTTTTATTAACTAAATGTTTCATTAGTTTGTATCAATTTAAGGCAAAATATTTCCAAAATATTATATTTAGTATTTTAATATATTGTGGATATGAAATACAGCATGAAATACCGATTTCTTTTTCTGTGTTAAAGTTAAAATCTTCCAAACACGGCTCACTTCCAAGCAATATTTTTTTTTAATTTGCATTTATATAGATCTAAGAAAAACAGGTATTCATCATTAAAATTTCTTTAATCTACAAAATCAATTATTGATACATTTTTGAATATAACTGAAATTGTTTTAAACTATTTTTTTTTTTTTTTTGGATTTTATATTTTAGTACAAATATAATTCCGGTAATTTAACAGATTTTTTTAATCTTTACAAATTTTGATTGTTATTTTTTATAATTGAAAACTACCAAATTATAATTTTGGTAGTTTTTAATACAATTACTTGTAATTAGAGAATCAGAAAAAGAAATATATAAAAGGAACACCGGTGTCCTATCTGCATCAAAGGGTAAAGAGGTGTCCCACGCAACAGAATTCATTTGCTTTTGTTTTCGTTTCTGAAAATTTCATAATACTTTAAATTAAGTTTAAAAAACCCGTACTATTTGCTAAAAGTACAGCAGTAGCTCTCTACGTATCAAAAATATTTCTGACACAGAAAGTTACTCTCAGGTATGTTCGCAGCTAATTCTTTTTTTGTGCATTTTTTTCGCCATTCCTTTTTTTGTGCATTTGTATTGCAACGATTCTTTTGTTAATTGTCTAATACTTTTTAAACAATACCTTAACATAATGTTCCAGAAATTTCATGCTTTTGTATTATTACATAAAAGAATTCTAAATATCCTTTGCGTCTATTTTTAGAATTTAGTTGGAAATGTATCATACAATCCTGAAATCAGGAAAGAAGACACTGAAAACATTTTGTCTAATTTAGGGTTGAACCTTTCACTGAAATCCAAGTGAGTGAACCTATACTTATTATTGTCAAACTAATGAAAAATATTTTTTTATGAAAGGCATGAAATTGTAATATTTTTTTTCTCTTTTTAGATTTTATTTAAAGATCTTAATTCATTTTAGTCAGAAAGGTGTGCGAGGTAGGGAAGCTGCTAAAGTAAGTACAAAAATATTTTTAAAAAATAATAATAATAATTTTACTAGCTATTAGATATTTTATAATTTATTATTATATATTTTAAAAAAATGTATGCAAATACTTTAAAAATCGTACAAAATTAAAATATTTACTAAAAAAATGAAAAATACACCTTTTTGGTAAAAAGCCAAACAACGTATGCGTGAACAATTTATTGAGCAAATACAACTGCTATAGCTATTCAACCACAAAGTAAAACAGGTTCTATTTCTTCCCTTCTGTATAATGTACGGATAAGTTCTCTTTTAAGAACCTACTCGATTTAGAGTTAAGAAAATTGGTTCGGTATCTCTTTTTCACTTCCTATGTAACACAACTACTAGCATGTTGCCTAATACAATATATAAACTATATTGTTACTGAAATCAAATACTTTTAAAAAAATATTTTCTTTCTAAAATAACAAAAAGTGCGCCTTTTTTCTTTTATTAGGATTCTAAAGAGTCACGATAACGCAGTGGTTAAAGCACTTAGTTCTCATTGCATAGGTCGGGGTTCAACCCACTAGTGGCTCGGATCCCCACTCAGCATCAGATCAATGGCTATCAGCTTGTCGGGGATGATCGCTCTACTTCCCACTGTGACGATTCTGGCCTCTATCATCACGTTGGTTTTGAAATTGTAGTGTTTTAACCTTTAATTGTAGTGTTTTTGGCGCCAAACTAGTTAAAGTTAGTTCAAGGTCAATACTTTTTCGTAATAACTTAAAACTTGAAACTTTAGTGAATGAAAATCCAACCTTTTCTTAGGTTCTGTCAATTGTAATTGCTCCAACAAGTACAGATTCAAATTCATTTCAAGTATCTGGTAGATAGACCGCAATAGCGATATTATTATTACTGAAATGCAAACATCAAAAAAATTTTTTTATATAATAGCTACTATTCAACTTTTCTTAAAAGTACACTTTAATCATATTGTCATTACCCCTTTGCAATTTCAAAAGATTTGAAGAAAATAATCAGGTAATACATTAGTTATAAATCAAATTTTTTTTTCTTTCTCACATTGCTTTGGTAAATATGGTTGATAATTAGAAATTCGTTTTTTAGTGAAATATTTTAATTTTAGCTTAGGCAAGGGATAATAGCTTAAATCCCATCTCTTCAAAAGAGAAAAATACGTTGGTTGAATTAATAATTTTGAAATTTATAAGAGCAACTAAGACTAGCATCTCATATAATTATACGCTCACCATTAGACAGAGGAAAAAAGAAGAGTTTTCACGTTTAGAACCCCTGTTTTTCTAAAGAGTTTCTTTTTTTTTAATTTAAAACAAAACAAGCTAGAAAAAGAACAAGCTAAATAAAAAATGTATAGGAATTTAGAGGTTAAAGTTTGAATTGTGTAAATTACTTTGTTCTGTTTATATATTAAGCTTAATTACGCACAAAAAATTGTTTTAAACTATCTGTAATTAACATTTGTATTCATAAAATTATTTTCTTTTCTTTTCTATAGTCTATATTAATAAAGTCATTGAATGCTTGGCGTAAAGGTTATTACCATCTAGCAAAACTGATGGTATCAGAAGGCCGAATTCCGGATGAAGACCTACTTTTCTTTATGACATTAGACGAAATTAAAGAACTTCTTGAAACTCGATCTCCGAAGCTTTTGTCAAAGTAAGAAAACATTCACAGACTTCTCATGCTGAGGACCACATTTCACGCAAAAAAATGTTTTATACGAATTTTACTTTGTACAGAATGTTGTGTAATCAGCACTGTTAATGTATATATTTAGAATCCTTGTCAAAAATAAGGTTTAAAAACTGTATTCAAAAACCTATTGCGCCACCTTTGGCCTTCAAAACAACTGCAAGTCGCCGCCTTGGCGTGGATGTTACAAATTTTTGATAGATAGCTAGAGATGGTAGATAACTAGAGATCAAACGTCACGCTGTAAGGTTGTAGATTGTTGCAACTCTTACGCAGAGTCGAGATATTCTGACACGACCTCTGAGCTACCTATATGTAAGATCCAAGGACAGTGAATAGGACATTAATTGGAGTTCTTTGAACTACTCCAGCACAATTCGAGCCTTGTTAATTGCGGCGTTGTCTTACTGGAAGATTCCATTTCCTGTTGGCAAAACAGATGCCACGCGTGAGTGCATCATGCTTTGATAGTCGGTAGCTTTCAGGGTCTGTTCTACCGAAATTATGGACCTCAGAGCCGATCATGAGAACGATCCCAAAGCATTATGCCGCCACCTTGACCTGTTATACATGTGGGAGCGACTGTTTGCCTATACCACGTACCCTGACGTGATCATGGAGATGATGAATGAGAAATAGTGCTTTATTTGACCAAATCACTGTCTTTCACTTTTCCATGGTTCAGTGTCAATGTAAAGCCCACTGTAAGCGTAGTTGACGGTGATACTTGACCACAGAGGTCAGTTGGTCAACAGAGACACACAGGTGGGAGTCTGATCAATCCTATATCCAACAGTATCTGCTGAACTGTGTGCTCCAAAACTTATACGCTTGGACCTGCATTGTATAGGGTTGTCAGCCGAACTATCGTCTTTGTTTCACTAAGCAGGGCAGTTTTTGACGTCCCTTTTTCTTTGATGACACGTAGACGTCCAACATCTTGGTGTCTACTGCTGGCTTCGCTGTCATTTGTCCACTTTGCATAAATACTTACAACAGTAGATAGCACATCATACCAGTCCCACAGTTTCGGAGATACTCGTTCAGGTTCTTGGAACTATTACGATTCTCCCTCCACCAAATTCGCTTAAATCAGTAAACTTTTCCTATTACTCGCAATAATGCAAGATAATTCCAAACCTTCTCCAGCAGCAGCTACATACCATTCCAACTTAATCACACGTCCACCACATCATTCAAAGGAGTTCATTGAAAAATGTCGTGATCGTCATAATGTTTTGGCTCATCAGTGCATTTTCATGTTATTTTTCATTTCAGTTTTTCATTTTATTTTTTATATTGTAAGGCAATATGTCTGGCATATATATTTCTCATCTTGACTGATCAATCATTTAAATTTTAGGATCACAAAAGATAATGCAAGAAGCTCTGAGTTAAATAATTAGTCATAATTTAAAATTGTAGGGAGACTGGGATTCTAACTGAGAAATTTTCGAATATTTTTCGAAGTTTATTTTAACTTTTATTCAACAAATATATTTTAAGAAAGAAGCTTTTTAAAATACCTTAAGCATTTGCTATATGTGTTTGCGTGATGTTTCATGAACGAATGTCTGTCCTGTAATATGGTATAAAATTTGATAAGGAAAATTACCCAAGCATGACTAATTTATAATTTTTGTATACTGTTAGAACTAATGATTGAACCAGTTCAAATTAAGTTTTGTGTTTTACAGTTTTTGAGAAAAAATATTTACCTCACATATTTTTATAGGATTAAAAAATAATTTGATTGTTTAAATTATAGTAAATGACTTATCAATAACCAACCTAACAAACAATTTAATAAATTTGAGGATTTTCATTGAACCTGTAAACACGTCTAAATTTTTTTCCAAAAGGTTTCATGTCAAAATTTTCTGCTTTGTAGGGCAACTCATAGGCGTAGACGATATCCAGTTCTTGATAAGAACATATTTCCTGAAATTATGAGTGGATTTCCGCAGCCCGTAAGTTATTTTCAAAGTAAAATAATTAATTAAATATTATGCTGCTAAATGTACTAATAATTCTTTACTATTTATTAAAGATAAACTATTTTTGATGAAACTGTTTAGTACTTAGTATATGTATGTATAAATGTGTAAGTGAATAGTAGTTACACGTTTCTTTTATAGATAGATTTGAAAAGTAATGAAGATTATTCAAACGATGAAAACTTCAGCATGAAAGGTAATTTTTAATTTATGTGGGTATGGTTTTTTTTAAAAAAATATTTCATTGATTAGAGTGCAAAATAGAAGTTTACTTTCCGACACATAAATTTAATTAAGTGCAGTCTAGTTAAAATAGGCAAAAATTGCAAACAGATCAATAGTTTTCGGCGAACATAGTCCATTCGTCAATCTAGAGAACGAGAGGACAAAAGAAAGTATGTTCTTTGCAAATTTTTATATAAACTTATATTAAAAATCTCTAGCAATTACTTATAGGGCTTGTGTTTAAAATTAAGTTATAATTATTTAAACTTATTTTTATAAGTATAAATGATACGTTACTTTTCAATCGGATGCCATTCTCAAAAACTGACAATTTGCATTAAAAAAATCTAATATTTAAAAAATTCTTGATCTATCCATATAATCATTTAACCACAAAACGTAAATAGCTTGACTGTTGCATGTTTCCATCATTTTGTTAGTTTATCATATTAAACCTCAGAAGCATTTCAAAATAATAAAAAAAACTATTAGTACTACAGATCTATCCCAGATGATTCATAACATGTTTCTATCAATGTTTGTAAATTCAACACTGTGAACAGTTCCTGCAGTGTTGTTGGAATTGGAGATCAAGTTTTGTCCACCTTAAGTTGGTTTTTGAAGATACTTATTCTTTGTCCTTAATAAGTTCATGTATCCCAATACCAAAAGCACTAACAGTCGTTGATAGAAACATGCTATTAAGCATATAAACGGAACCGGTTAATCATTTTAATGCATACCATGTGATCAAAGGTCCACACATTAAACATTTGTAGCATTAACCAGAAACATGGTGAGTGTATGGTTTGTCTACAGAAATAACTCTCCTCGTCACGAAGTCTAAGACCGACTGCTGCTATTAAAACAAGAAATAGCGCATTTCAAAGAGCTTCTCTCTATCCTTATTCCCTTTCTTCTGCAAACCCGAGACAAAACGTGCCTTAAATATTGACCTAACACCCCTATTTGAAATGGTTAAGCCTCATAACCATAGTCACCAACACTGCTCCAGAGTAATTAGATTTACATAGATATGTATCTTTCTATGTGCAACCCATCTTTGTACCTCATATACTTGTAAATAAATAGTTCGTTGAAAATAGATGAATTGGTGGAAGATTAGATTAACCCTGTATTACGTTTTCGTTAGCTCGCTACCGTGTTCTGTGCGGCTGGAATCTTGCGGTCAAACTTTTGACCGCTGTTCAGATAGCCAGAGCAGATAAATTTCTACAAGAGCTTTGTGCCTGATGGTAGTGCTTCGCTACCACTACTTGCAAAATTAAGCGTTATATTATAAGCAAAGGAAATTTTTTGCCTATCCAAATTTCCACTACTTTTCGTTCAGTTATAATATTAAGACTAGAAACTCTGTACTTGAAGACTGTGTACGTTTCGGGTTTCCAAAAGAACACAATCAGAACTAATATCCCCTTTATATCGCTAAACAGAATTTATCACCAATCACATTTTCAACCAAATTCTGATAAGTTCGAGTTTTTCACGCAAGCTTGAACTCTCTGCATGCTGCCAATTGTTTCTTAATTGATATATGTTTGTTTCCTAACAGACACAAGCTAAGTTTATTATCATTTTATTGCCAATCAATATATTCACACGCAAACTAACAGACGCGAAACCAACTAGGAAGAAATAACAAAACAAAAGAAAAGGTTAAAAACTACCTATTTTTGAATAGACTAAAAGGGAGAAAATATTGCTTTTTTAATTTGACCTAGCTCAGTAAGCAAACAGGGTACATCTCTTTTACATAAACTTCTATCACTACCGATTATTTGCCCTCGTATCTTCGAAAATAAAGGACTCTATTTCTCTTTGAATGCCTGATAAAAATAAAATGATTTTCCTTTTAGTCTATTTAATAAAATAATCTTTAAAAATTTTATTTAATTAGTGGTATTTTATTTTCGTATTTCTTTTTTAATACCAAGTTTTTGCACGTTAAAGTTCGTATCTTCCTAACTGCGCATGCTTGCTCCCCAGATTCCTTAGTATGCGCTTTCTCAGAGCATACGTACGTCAATGAACATGCCAAAACTCATTAATTTGTTACACTTACTACCTCGTTAATAAATACTTATTTTGATTTAAGGTAATCCAGTAAGTCCGGGAGTAGCAAAAGCGTTTGTTAGAGTAGCACTGACATTGGAAGAAGCTGAACTCTTGAAGGTTAGTATTGCGGATGGAAAGAAACATCTTACTTTATGTGAAATAATTTATAAACTTATTTTTGTACAACTTTATTTAAAATTACTTAATTTTTATCTTTAATTTCACATTTTCTCTTGTTCAGAGTTTAATTTAATGTTTTACATTATCTCTTATACAGATGCTTAACTTAGGTGTAGCTTTTCACAGAAAATACTAAATTTTATTTTCATAAAAATTTGCCTTCTTTGTTAAGAAAAAGAAAGAGAGAGAAGAGAAGAAAAGTTTCAAAACAAGTGCTAATCATTTTTTTTCACTTGTTGAAAAAGTTATTGCATTTTAAGTTTTTATTTATCATATATTTGGCTGTTTAATAATTGTAAAAGTATTTTTAAGAATATTTATCATAAAACATTACATTTTATAACAGTGATATTTACAAAACAATTACTTAATACATTTCCAAGCCTTTATTTTGAATTATAATCAAAATCAAAAAAACTGAATAAAATAAATTGATATTATCACAAAAAGTATTGGCTCAAAATATTTTACATATTTAAAATTAAATATGCAGAGATTTTTTAATAGTTTTATTCTATCCAAATAAGTTTTGGATAGAATAGTCTCTTTTTAAATATCCAATAAAAAATGCTTCACCTCCAATATAGTGTTTTAAGGAAAAATTCAGAGCAAAAACGTATTACCTTATTTCAAAAATCCTACAAATTAAAAATTAAATTCACTTAAGGAACTTTTAAATAACGTAAGTTACAAAACTTGAAGTGAAAAAAAAAACAGTAGTCATAATTTTTTTGTGTTTACTATGATAATTGGATACTTGCAAATGACGTATCGCTCTGTTCAGCCAATCAGGCTCGACACGCACGCATGACGTCGCTTGCAGGTATCCAATTAAATCTGATTCGAAAATTGTTTCAGCGATATGAAAACCCAAATCTTTAAGCTGTATAGTTACGATGTAGTGCATATATTTTTACAGGGTAAATTAATAGTTAGAGTTAAAATATTTTATAGCATTCAATAAATTTTAATTGGAAAGCAAGAATTTTTATCCATTTTGCAGTGTATACACTTATCAGATGATTGGGGGTGCCATGATGCTCATGTGCATAGAGTTGTGTATACCTGATACACTATAAACAGAACACTTAAAGTACGCACTGTCATTAATTATATCTAAAATAAATAAATGCTTATAAGTAAAAAATGACAAATATATGTCATGCGTAATATCAGTAATCTTTATAATGCCTCTTTTGAAACATTTTTAACATGAGGCTCTAAGACATTATAGGAGATAATGAAAAGGGAATTTTAAAAAAATGAGTAAAAAGTAGAAATTATACATAAACGAATCGTATCTTTCAGTTAATATTTTTATACAAGCCCATAAAATTGACATATTAATTTTGTAATAAGTGTCAGCTTGAAAAAGATCAAAAATATTTACCATACCTAGAACTATAATCAATTTAATACTGAAATCATTTTAATGATGTTTATGTATTACGTTTTTATTTGATTGTTTATTTTTGTATTTTAAACTAATGTTTAAAACAGCGACATTTTGGTTTATTTTAAACTTATTTTCCCTAATTTTTGTATTTTAAGATCTTTTGGGGGAATTTGGATTATTTTTCTATAAGAAGTTTTTTTCTTTGCAGGCTGGCGAAATTCTTGTGACTTACAGCACAGATATAGGATGGTCACCGTATTTTCCCATTCTTGCCGGGGTTGTAACCGAAATCGGTGGACTTATATCTCATGGTTGTTCTTTTAGATTTTCACTTTCAAGTCTTTGATTTTTATCTTTGAAATATATAAAGATATAAATTCAAAAAGATATAAAAAAAGTTATGTTTTCATTAGAAAATTTTATCCAATTACGTTATTTTATCCAGAAGCCGCAACGTCCAATTAAAAATAAAAATAATTGAAATTGTGTGAGAATTGAAGGAGTGGGGAAATAAAAGGTAAATTGTTTTAGAAGAAAAGTGCATTTAATACATGTATATTGAAAATGAAGATTCGACCTATTATAAAGGAGATAAGTGAGGCCTTGTTTTGAAACACTGAAAGAATCGCTGTACCAACAAATAGTCTCTTTAATAAGACAATTAATGTTATGCAGCCATTATGTTGTAAAACAATTTAAACATTCCATAAATAATCCAGCTTCTAAATCAGTATAAAATATTTTAAAGCCTATAATAGACCTTCTAACTTCTGCATTTAGCTGGAAAGTTTTCTACGATTTAAAGTAATAGTGACACAGAACTACTTTACACCACGCCATTTTGTGGCGAGAACAGTAAAGAATGAGTTGAATGACAGCAACCGCAGGAAGAACATCTGAATAATATCTCCATTTTAGTGTTTTGTGAGTTTCGTCGTTAATTTGTGTTTGTTAATTTGCAACTGCTTCTGTGCTCTGCTATTTAAATAATTTCAAAGCTAGACCGGTGTTTTTATTACTTAAAAATGGTTACAAACTTTGGAGCCCAACGTGGGGTTCGAACCCAAGACTCAGACATTAAGAGTCTCGTGCTCTACCGACGGAGCTAGCCGGGCGTTCTCATTACTTGGAAAATGGTTATAATAGCAAATTTCATAACTTTTCATTTTTCATGACTGCATAATAAAAATATTAAAATGTATGTATTGATCTTTTATCATCCAATTGTTATTATTTAAAATTTAATTGTTAGCTTAGGAAAGAAAAAAATCACCTAATTTAAATTTAAATGAAGCTCTGATAATAAAAACGTCAGAACCGGTCTCGTGCTTTGAAATCTTATTATTTTTACGAAAAAATATGTTTGTTTTCACTCCGGACAAATGAGAGAAATGGTTCTTGACCAATTTGTTTGATTTTTGAGCATGTGTGTAAAATGCCGGAGTAAAATGTGATATCTAGGTAGGTTGATATCGGCCTTTTTTATTTTGAGAGCCTCAATTATTATTTTTTCGTAAAGAAATTTTTCACGCCTTTGTTTTATTAAGGAAAGCAGGAGTTATTGATTTCATTGGATTTAAAAATCTGTTATTAGAAAATACGATTTTGCAATTCAACATTTATGTTTACTAAGGTCTATTGGCAAACTTTTGTCATAATATGAGTTCTTGGTTCAAACGTATTTTTGCGAAGTTCAAAATTTAAATTTTTAAAGCAATTGAAATCTGAAAACAGCAATTTAGAATTTAATGAACACTTTCAAATATTTTCAGGTGCCGTGGTAAGCAGAGAATATGGATTGCCTTGTATAGCTGGTCTCCGGGGAGCTACAAGACAATTTAAAACAGGTATTAACAGTTCTGTCACCAATAAAATAGCATTAACAAATGATATATTACATATTTTTGTTTAAGAGAAGTTAAAATGGTAATCACTATCGAAATTTATTTTGATAAGTTCTTAATTCGTCACTATATCTCGCTTACCAGAGAGAAAATTAAAGATCCTTCAAAAATAACAAGAAAATTAATATACAAGTTCATAATAAGAATAAATTTGAAAAATAATTAAACCTAATTTAATTCTTAATTCCACCCAATGTAGTTTTTGGGGGTAAAAATTGCTTTTTTCTGAGCAAAATTAACGGTGCATGGTTTTCGATCATCTCATTCTTCCTCTAAATTCCTATTGCTACTCCTAAGAAATAATGAACCATTTTCAAGTAACAGGTCCATGGCTCTCAATCCCTATTGCTATTTATAAAAAATAGTGAACTATTTTTCAAGCTCTAACTCAATGATTCTCAATCCCAATTGCTACCTCGAAGAGATATTAAACTATTTTTCAAGTGCTAGGTCGATGGCTCTCAACTCTCATTGCTACTCCTAAGAAATGATGAACTATTTTTTAGGTCATAGATCTGTGGTTCTCAATTCCCATTGTTGCGCCTTAAAAGTTGTAATGAATTCATTTGAAATTTAAATTCTTATTCATAAAATCTTGTTGCTTTTTTCTAAAAATTATTGTTTTCTATTGGGTTTGCAAGTAAACGCGTTTAAACTATTGCTGCAGTTCTTGTTATTTTGAGAGGCATAAAAAAGTGTGATTTATCTTAATACAACATAGTAAGATATTATTGAAGTTTTTTCTAGTTTCTACTTAAGCTTTCATATAATTAAAAATAGTTAATGTAAAAAATTGATCTCGTATAAAAGACACACGATCTATACAAACAAAAACAAAAACGCATACGCATCAAAAAAAAGCATACAAAGGCAGTCGATACGAAAAGCAAAGCAAAAGCATTCAATACGAAGCACAAAACAAAATCATACTATCTCCATAGTAACAAAAATAACTTAACATAGACAGGAGAGAAATTCTTTCTCTGTATTACCCTATGGAGAATGATGTGAGTTTTACCGTATTTTTTAGCAAATTAGTGTTTTCAAGTATCTTCTAGTGCTTCATATTATTCATTAAAATGTCAATTGAACCTAGTAGCAAAATTACCAGTTTTTTATCCAGGCTGAATAAAACACATAAAACAAAATAAAAGATATTCTAAAAATTAATTAGTTACTTTATAAATAAGGAATTTTGATTCATGTTTACATACAGGAAGTGAAATCACTACTTTGTCTAAAGAGGACCCTTCAACAGGGTGAGTCAGTACAATGGTTAGAAACCTTTAAGACACATCATAAGTTATAAATATCGAGAATTAGTTAACCCATGGCCAGAAATGTCATCGTACTCTTCTAGGATACGCTACCCCATTATAAACTGGCTGTTCTTTTCTATTTGATTCAGCTCTATTATTTATTTAAATTTTCTAAATTTTATGTTTCCTGAATTATTCTATTATATTTGCATTGTCAAAAATTGTATTCAAACAGGAACAGACACAGCTGTTATGACATAGTTTACTCATTTGGGAGCTCTGAAAGTTAGTCCCCACATTAATAAAGTAATTTTCAGATTAACACGTTGAATGCCATGGGGGTCACCGGTGACCGGCACTGAGTTTGTTCATAGCGGCACTGGGCTCACCGGTGACCGGTGAAGCCAAAATTATTCGAAACACATAATTCGAGTAAATTTTTAATGCTTTTAAATTTTTTTATATTATTATCGTTACTAAAATGGTTTGAAGAAATTAATACAACGCACACTGAGAAAATCATTTTGGCCAGACGGGCAAGCCATGTAAAATTAGCGTGGTATTCAACGTGCTAATAAAGTAAAATAAAATAAAGCTAAATTTGGGCTTGAGTGCAATTTTCAACAACGATTATTAGGAAACATAAAATTAAGATGAATAAAAATGCTAGTTTAAATTCCAAGAATGGTCAGTTGATAATAAGATAACACCTCTAGCGGTGTATGATGACATTTCCGACCCTGGGCTGCTATGCAATTCTCTATCTTTATGACAACCCCTATTCTCGCTCGCTCTAAGTTTGCAGTTGCTGTGCGTTTCACCCTTTATAATATTCAACATTCCACTTCCTTCTAGACTAAGATAAACCTAAAAATCTCTANTATCAGTTTTTTTTTTTTTTTTGGCTCTTCAGTATAGTTAAACCTCATAACCATAAACACCAGCACTGCTCCTGAATAATTAGATTTACATAGACAGACTATATGTATCGTTCCATGTGTAACTCATCTTTGTACGCCATATACTTGTAAACGAACAGTCCTTTGAAAATGGATGAATCGGTAAAAGATTAGATTAACCCTACCCTGTATTACATTTTCGCTAACTCGCTACCGTGTTCTGTGCCTCTGGAATCTTACAGTCAAAATTTTTATCACTGTTCAGATAGCCAGAGCATTCAAATTTCTACAAGAGCTTCGTACCTGATAGCAATGTTTCCCGACCACTACTAGCAAAATTAAGCGTTATATTATAAACAAAGAAAATGTTTTGCCAATCCAAACTTCCACTACTTTTCGTTCAGTTATAATATTTAAAGCTAGAAACTCTGTACTTGAAGACTATGAACGTTTCCGTGTTTCCAAACGAACACAACCAGAACTAATATCACCTTTATATCGCCAAATATAATTTATCATCAATCACATTTTCAACCAAATTCTGACAAGTTCGAGAGCTACACGTAAATTTGAACTCTCTGCATGATGCCAATTGTATCTTAATTGATATATGATTGTTTCGTAACAGACACAAGCTAAGTTTATTATCATTTTATTGCCAATCAATATCTTTACACTCAAACTAACAGAAAACGAACCAGCAAAAAATAACAAAACAAGAAAAAAAAGTTAAAAACTACCTATTTTTAAATATACTAAAAGGGAGAAAATATTGCTATTTTTATTTGACCTAGCTCGGTAAGTAAACAGGGTAGAGCTCTTTGGTATAAACTTCTATCACTACCGATTATTCGCCCCCGTATCTTCGAAAATACATTTTCTTTGAACGACTGATAAAAATAAAATGATTTTCCTTTTAGTCTATTTAATAAAATAATTTTTTTTTAATTAGTGGTATTTTATTTCGTATTTCTTTTAATACAAAGTTTTAGCACGTTCAAGTACGTATCTTCCTAACTGCGCACGTCTGCATCCCAGATTCCTTAGTATGCGCTTTCTCAGAGCACACGTGTGTCAATGAACATGCCAAAACTCTTTAATTTGTTACACTTACTACCTCGTTAATAAATACTTATTTTGATTTAAGGTAATCCAGTAAGTCCGGGAGTAGCAAAAGCATTTGCTAGAGTAGCACTGACATTGGAAGAAGCTGAACTCTTGAAGGTTTGTATTGCGGTTGGAAAAAAACATCCATCCGCAATGTGAAATAATTTATAAATTTATTTTTGTACAGCTTTATTTAAAACTACTTAATTTTTATCTTTAATATCGCATTTTCCCTTGTTCAGGGTTTAATTGAAATTGAATGTTTTACACTATCTCTTATACAGATGTTTAACTTTGGTGCAGCGTTTCACAGAAAATACTACATTTTAGTTTCATAAACTGTCTTGTTACACTTACAACGGTGCATATTTTAGCAGATTTCGTTTTGTTTTCCAATTTTTATGGCTTTTAACTTATTTTAAAGTTAATATTTTGATAAAACAATTTTTAAATTTTAAAATTCAACTTTTTAAACTTTCAAAAAATTTATTCTCAATAATAACAGCTAAGAAAAAGTATACTTAATTTAAATTTGATTTTTAAGTTGTCTTTGTATGCCGACCGGACTGTGTAGTGGTAACATCAGAAAGGTTCTGGGTTCGAATCCTGGACAAGGCACGGATTTCATTTCTTTTTATGTACTCTCTGCTCTTACTGTGGGAGCAACGTTGGTCCTCCTAACATGGTGCCCTTGAAAGAGTGGCCAACAAATCTGCCCTACTGGTATCTGAATGACGAGTGTCAAAAGGGTGGGCATTAAAAAATATATTCTCTATAATGTAAAATTGTTTGATTAGGACGAATGCGAATATAGTGATAAAAATAATTAATGTGACTAATGCTATTAATATATTGACGAAATATGCTTAAGAAAAATTTACTACATTTAATTTTTGAATATTTTTTATGAAACTATTGAAAATTTGTCATCTTTGTTAAGAAAAAGAAGGAGGCCGGGATAGCCTGGTCGATAGGACGCTGGGCCCATATCCGAGAGTTCGTGGGTTCGAACCCCGCTGGCTTTATCCGTGTAGTAAAGTGACTGATACACGTAAAAATTCTGTCGAGTCGCAAAGTCCTCCATGTTCCCATAACAAATCAATACCTCTGGGGGTTCTGGATTGAAGATCAATCGTTCTCTAATTCAGGTCAAAATTACGATCTGTGGGTGAATGGGTCCGCCCTATAAACGAGTGCGACGTATTGTGTGACAGAAGTCGAATTCTTGGCCATAGATGGCTCCACTGAAAAACAAGAAACGCACACCCTGCTTAAAATTTGCTCGGTTTCACCAAGCAGGCTTGCCCGTGTGGCAAGTAGCATTAGAAACAACAACAATAACAGAAAAAGAAGGAAAGAGAGAGAGAAGAAAAGGTTTAAAATAAGTGCTGATCATTTTTTTTCACTTGTTGAAAAAGCTATTGCATTTTAAGTTTTTATTTATCATATATTTGGTTGTTTAATAACTGTGAAAGGATTTTTAAGAATATTTATCATGTAACTTTGCATTCAATAACAGTGATATTTACAAAACAATATATCACTATTACTTAAAAATACATTTTCAAGCCTTAATTTGTATTATAATCATAATCAAGAAATTGAATAAAATAAATCGATATTATGGCAAAAAATATTGACTCAAAATATTTTACATATTTAAAATTAAATATGCAGAGATCTTTTAATAGTTTTATTCTATCCAAATAAGTTCAAACCCTTTTTAAATATCCAATAAAAATGCTTCACCACCAATATAGTATTTTAAGGAAAAATTCAGAGCAAAAACTTATTACCTTATTTCAAAAATCCTACAAATTAAAAAATAAATTCAATTAAGGAACTCTTAAATAACGTAAGTTACAAAACTTGAAGTGAAAAAAAAACAGTAGTCATAATTTTTTGTGATTACTATGATAATTGGATACTTGCAAACGACGTCTCGCTCTGTTCAGCCAATCAGGCTCAACTCTTTAGCATGACGTCGCTTGCAGTTATCCAATTGAATCTGATTCGAAAATTGTTTCAGCGATATAAAAACCCAAATCTTTAAGCTGTATAGTTAAGATGTAGTGCACATATTCTTACAGGGTAAATTAATAATTAGAGTTAAAATATCTTATAGTATTCAATAAATTTTAATTGGAAAGCAAATTATTTTTTATCGTTATTGCACTGTGTGCACTTGTCACATGATTGGAGGTGCCATGATGCCCATGTGCATTAGAGTTGTGTATATCTGATACACTATAAATACCTGATTCACTTTAAAATACCTGATACACTCTAAAATACGCACTGTCAATAATTATATCTAAAATAAATAAATGCTTATAAGTAAAAAATTTTAAATATATGTCACGCGTAATATCAGTAACCTTTATAATGCCTCTATTGAAACATTTTTAACATGAGGCTCTAAGACATTATAGGAGATAATGAAAAGGGAATTTTTGAAAAAATAAGTAAAAAGTGGAAATAATACATAAGCGAATCGTATCTTTCAGTTTATATTTTTATATAAGCCCATGAAATTAACACATTGATTTTGTAATAAGTGTCAGCTTGAAAAAGATCAAAAATATTTACCATACCAAGAACTATAATCAATTTAATTATGTTTATGTATCACGTTTTTATTTTATTGTTTATTTTTGTATTTTTAACTTATGTTTAAACAGTGACATTTTGGTTTATTTTAAACTTATTTTCACCTATTTTTGTATTTTAAGATCTTTTGGGGAAATTCGGGTTACTTTTTTATAAGAAGTTTTTTCTTTGCAGGCAGGCGAAATTCTGGTGACTTACAGCACAGATATAGGATGGTCGCCGTATTTTCCCATTCTTGCTGGGGTTGTTACCGAAATCGGTGGACTTATATCTCATGGTTGTTCTTTTTGATTATTGCCTTCGAGTCTTTTATTTTTATCTTTGAAATATATAAATTTAAAAAGATATAAATTCAAAAAGATATTAAAAAAAATTTTTTCATTAGAAAATTTTATCCAATTACGTTATTTTATCCAGAAGCCGCATAGTCCAATTAAAAATAAAAGTATTTGAAATTGTGTGAGAATTGAAGGAGTGGGGAAAGAAAGGGTAAATTTTTTACTAACATTATTTTTTCTTTCATTAGCAAAATAATCCAAGCGTATCCAACCTTTTGTTCAACCATTTCTTCCAATTTGATTTATTTATTTATTTTTGCAATTATTCATCAAATGGAATTTAATTTTTAAAATAGTATTGTTCATACCCAATTTTCGTGACAAAAATAATAAAATCGCAAAGATAACATGCAGCCCTTCGATGCTTGCCTAATATTTAAAGCTTCTTCATCAGCATAAAAAATTTTAAAGCCTATAATAGACCTTCTAACTTCTGCTTTTAGCTGGAAATTTTTCTACGATTTAAAGTAATAGTGCAACTATAGAACTACTTTAGAATTGCCACCACGCCATCTCGTGGCGAGAACAGTAAAGAATGAGTTGAACTACAGCAACCGAAGGGAGAACATCTCCTAAATAATATATCCGTTTTAGTGTTTTGTGAGTTTCGTCGTTAATTTGTGTTTGTTAATTTGCAAAACTGTTTCTGTGCTCTGCCATTGAATATAAATAAACACAAACTAAGGTAAACAACGTTAAGGAGCACAAAAAAAAATATTTAATGCAGACAGCTGTTTCGAATGCTCAAAGAGCAACCTTCATCAGTGCAACAGAAAGAAATGAGAGAAAACATGGTAAATATAGAGAAAGGTGACGTCACAAGGGGGGTTAGATCAACGGCCCTAACCCCCTGTATTTTAGCACAAAGGTCGCCCACTTGTGTATCTATAAATAAATAGTTTCAGAGCTAGCCCGGTGTTTTTATTACTTGGAAAATGGTTACAAATTTTGCCGCCCAATGTGGGGCTCGAACCCACAACCCCGAGATTAAGAGTCTCGTGCTCTACCGATTGAGCTAGTCGGGCATTTTTATTACTTGGAAAATGGTTACAATAGCAAATTTCATGACTTCACATTTTCCATGATTGCATAGTAAAAATATTAAAATGTATGTATTGATCTTAAATCTTCCCATTGTTATTATTTAAAATTTAGTTGTTAGCTTATGGAAGACAAAAATCACCCAATTTAAATTTAAATGAATCTCAGATAATAAAAACGGCAGATCCCCCACCTATCTTGTGTTTTGAAATCCTATTCTTTCTACGAAAGAAGGCAAAAAATATGTTTGTTTTCACTCTTGACAAATGAGAAAAAAAATATAAAGTTCTTGACATAGCTCAATTTGTTTGATTTTTGAGCATATTAAATATAGATAGCAGGAGTAAAATGTGATATCTATGTAGGTTGATATCCGCCTTTTTTATTTTGAGAGCCTCAATCATATTATAATTTTTTCATAAAAAAATTTTTCACGTCATTGTTTTATTAAAAAAACAGGAGTTATTGATTTCATTAGATTTAAAAATCTGCTATAAAAAAATACGATTTTACAATGTTTACTAACGTCTATTGGCAAACTCATATTATGAGTTGATGGTTCAAACGTATTTTTGTGAAGTTCAAAATTTGAATTTTTAAAGCAATTAAAATCTGAAAACAGCAATTTAGAATTTAATGAACACTTACAAATATTTTCAGGTGCAGTGGTGAGCAGAGAATATGGATTGCCTTGTATAGCTGGTCTCCGTGGAGCTACAAGACAATTTAAAACAGGTATTAACAGTTCCGTCACCAACTTATAGCATTAACAAATGATATATTATATATTTTTGTTAAATCAACGTTAAAATGAAAATCGTCATAAAAATTTATTCCGATAAGTTCATAACTCGTCACTATATCTCACTTTAAAGAGAGAAAATTAAAAATCCCTCAAAAATAACAAGAAAATTAATATACAAGTTTATAATAAAATAAATTTAAAAAATAATTAAACCTTAGTTTTGTTTCTCCCAATGTAGCTTTTGGGGGTAAAAATTGCTTTCTTCTGAGCAAATAGTAACGGTGCATAGTTTTCGGTCATCTCATTCCTCCTCTAAATTCCTATTGCTACTCCTATGAAATAATGAACTATTTCTCAATGGTTCTCAATCCCTATTGCTATTTATAAAAAATAGTGAACTATTTTTCAAGTGCTAGGTCGATGGTTCTCAACTCTCATAGCTACTCCTAAGAAATGATGAACTATTTTTTAGGTCATAGATCTGTGGTTCTCAATTCCCATTGTTTCATCTTAAAAATTTTAATGAATTCAGTTAAAATTTAAATTCTTATTAATAAAATCTTGTTGCCTTTTTTCTAAAAATTATTGTTTTCTATTGGGTTTACAAACAAACGCGTTCAGACTATTGCTGCAGTACTTGTTATTTTGAGAGGCATAAAAAAGTGTGATTTATCTTAATACATTATACAGTCAAACCCCGCTATAGTGAACCATCAAGGGACCAAAATTTTGGTTCACTATAACAGGGTGTTCTCTATATCCGTACTGCAAGCATTTCTAACTAATTTTCCGAGCTGCTACGTTTAATTACACAGTATTTGAATAAATGACCCATAAAAATAAATACAGAATTGATTAAAAAACAGTACGTAGTAACGGAAAATGTGCGGAAATAAACGTAAAATAAAAACGGCTTTTTATTTTTTATTACTCCTTGTCTTGGGTGTGAAAAATTTAGGGATGACCCTTATTCAGGGATGATAAACTGAGGTCGAGGAAGTAAACAAGAAAAAATGCTTATGGCTACATTCCACTTAATATATGGTTTTAAAAATCGGCTTATGTAGAAAAGTTTCAAACTTACCAAAAAATAAAGAAATAAAATCAATCGAAGACAGAAAAAAGTTCATAATATCCAATTTCCTCACTTTTTTGGTTCACTATATCCACACAAAATAATATATGTGTATAGCATGGCACGGGGATGAACATTTCTTTCAGCATATCTGGAAGTTCAATATAAACCATGTTCACTATAGCGGGGTTTGACTGTAGTAAGATATTGCTGAAGTTTTTTCTAGTTTCTACTTAAGCTTTCATATAATTAAAAATAGTTAATGTAAAAATTGATCTCGTATAAAAGACACACGATCTACACAAACAAAAAAAACGCATACGCATCAAAAAAAAAGCATACAAAGGCATTCGATACCAAAAGCAAAGCAAAAGCATTCAATACGAAAAGCAAAACAATATCATACTATCGCCATAGTAGCAAAAATATCTTAACATAGACAGGAGAGAAATTCTTTCTCTGTATTAACCTAGGAAGAATGATGTGAGTTCTACCGTATTTTTTAACCCATTAGTATTTTCAAGCATCTTTCGTTGTTTCGTAATATTCATTAAAATATCAATTGAACCTAGTAACAAAATTGCCAGTTTCTTATCCAGGCTGAGTAAACACATTTAGGTAAATAAAGCAAAACAAAAGATATTCTAAAAATTAATTAGTTACTTTATAAAAAAGGAATTTGGCCTCATGTTTACATACAGGAAGTGAAATCACTATTTTGTCTAAAGAGGACCCCTAAACAGTGTGATTCAGTACAACGGTTACAAACCTTTAATACGCATCATAAGTTATAAATATCGAGAATTGGTTAACCCATGGCCAGAAATGCCATTGTACTCTTCTAGGGTGCGCTACCCCATTATAAACTGATTATTCCTTCCGATTTGATTCAGCTCTATTATTTCTTGAAATTTTCTAAATTTTATGTCTCCTGAATTATTCTATTATAATTGCATTGTCGAAAATTGTATTCGAATAGGAACAGAAATAGCTGTTATGACATAGTTTACTCATTTGGGAGCTCTGCAAGTTAGTTCCCAAATTAATAAAGTAATTTTCAGATTAACACGTTGAATGCCTTGGGGGTCACTGGTGACCGGCACTGAGTTTGTTCATAGCGGCACGGGGGTCACCGGTGACCGGTGAAGCCAAGATTTTTCGAAACACATAATTCGAGTAAATTTTTAATGCTTTTAGTTTTTTTTAATATTATTATCGTTACTAAAATGGTTTGAAGAAATTAATACAACGCACACTGAAAAAATCACTTTGGTCATGGGAAATTAGCATGGCATTCAACGTGTTAATAAAGTAAAATGAAATAAAGCTAAATTTGGGCTTGAGTGCAATTTTCAACAACAATTATTAGGAAACATAAAATTAAGATGAATAAAAATGCTAGTTTAAATTCCACGAATGGTCAGTTGATAATAAGCGGTGTATGATGACATTTCCGACCCTGGGCTGCTATGCAATTCCCTATCTTTATGACAACCCCTATTCTCGCTCGCTCTAAGTTTGCAGTTGCTGTGCGTTTCACCCTTTATAATATTCAACATTCCACTTCCTTCTAGACTAAGATAAACCTAAAAATCTCTATGTAACAATAAAATAAAAAGATATTTTAACTTTGCCATCGAAGTCTTGAATTGTGTTCTATTATTCTTATTCTTATGATTTTAGGTGATTATGTTTTATTGGACGGAAACAGAGGTATTTTACAAAGACTACCAAGACCAGAAAAGCTGGAAGATTCTACTTAAAATTTAATTTTTGATTACGCTTCCAATATTTATAAACAAAGAAAAAAATGAATCCTGTCTTTCTAAATCAGTATTTTTATGCCTATAATTTTTTATATTTAATACTCCTTTACACTATTTTTTGTGCACATGTTTTGCGTATTAAAATGATATATTCTAAGTTTTAATTAGGGAGAATACATAAAGCTAAAAAATTATTTTATTTACTTATCAACTGTCTTTTATCTTAATGTGAAATAAATATTTTTCTATTAAATGACTGTGTTGTTCTCTTCTTGAAATTATCATTTCTCCGCTTATTTTCGAAAGAGTATATTTTATAAGGTCATTAATTTCTTAAATATCGCGCACGTTGATACTTTTAGTTAAAATAATGTGAGTAACAATTTGTTCGAATACTATAAAAATTCATGAATTTTTATTCTGATTCTATGCAAGGTTCTTTGAAAATTAATATTTCTGGGAAATTAAATCGAATTAACCTTTCAATTGGATCAGGTGTAATTCCTGCATCGATTACACTCTAAATGTACTGAATTAACGAGACTGCTTTAGAGAAATTAAAAATATTATGACTTGCTTTCAAGTCTACTGATCTTTTTTTTAGATTTAACTCCCACTTTTGATTTATAGGATCATTTTTCAAAATCTTTGGCAACCACGAATTACATGTTGGGCAGCATGAAACTTTGAAACAATCTGGAAGGTATGGTCCTAATAGTTTAGGCAGGGGAACGATCAAAAATCTGGACTCCTAAATATTTAATTGCACTTTTTACATATTTCACCATACCTGCAGAAATAATGAAGCAAATCAGAAAAGTTTTTTCCGCAATTATAAATTTTAATTTTTCAAAGGTAATCCCGAGCAAAAAAATATGTTTGATGTTGTCGTAGGCCCTTAAGGCAAGGGATGCAATTGTTCTTGTTTTCCGGTGGCGCCATCTATGACCAAAAATTCGACATCTACCACACCCATACGTCACACCTGTTTATAAAGCGAACCTATTCATACATGCATTCATTCATCCCATTCATCCACAGATCGTAATTTTGAGCTGCACCAGAGAACAATCAATCTTCAATTCTGTACTCCCCCCTCCCGAGATATAATTTGTAATGGGAGCATGGAGGGTTTTGTGACCCGACAGATTTAACTTGCAGCAATTACCACACGGGGAGTCTTCGGCAGGCTAGATTCGAACACGAGTCCAGCGCCCTGCCAACCAGGCTATCTCAGTCCTAATATGATTGATAACTAATTATTATTTGCTAATGACAGAAAAAATCTGAAATTTAATTTATGCAAAAGGAACGGAAAGAAATCGTTTCTTGAAAAATAAAAGTTTAAAAAGATGATTTTGTAACTTAAAACATTGCCTGCACCAATAAATTAGCATACTTAAGGTTAAGCTCTCGTACCATTAAGTTTGAGTCCTATTACGTGAAAATCTGATAATTAAAACAAAAATTATTAAATATGTATAAAAGGTTTTTTTTCTGCGCATTTAACATTGTTAGTTTTAACTTCAGTTTCGCAAAATTATTTCGAGAAATTTACTTATCTATATATAAATTACTTATTCAATTAATTTCGTCTGCGTTATTATTTTTCATAAAAACAAACTTTTTCGTTTTCTCTAACTCTCTCAAAAATTCTGTAAATGTGAAAAAAGTTTCTCACCCATTAATTTTTTCAATGATTGTAGAACATTGGAATAGATGCTTGTTATTGCTTTTTAAAAAGATTTGAATATTTTGGTAGTTTATTTGGAACATGTAAGTGCCGTTAAAGCTCAAGCCCCACAATTTGAGAATCCCACATCTAATTCTTACTTTTGACACACATTTCTATTCTTCTTTTTGTAGCCATTTTATTGCTTTACAATAAAACCATCAATTATTTTGTTTTTGATTACAGTGTATCACATATAAGATAAACTTATCCACTATTATAAATCCTTAACTATGCCTATCAGTGCAAAAAATTTCTCTTTAGGAACTTATGTGAGAAAACTTAAGCTCTTAGGAATTAATGTTCAACATAAAATATTCAAGAGATCTAACGATAACGTCAAACTATTTTGTTGGTCGTGAATTGTTAAAATCATTCGGAAATAATTTTAAAATTGTTACGATAAGATTTTTTTTTCTTTTCCCTAAAGGTGGATAAAATTTTTACATTTAGAACAAACTTGGAAAAATGTCAGTGAACATAATGCAGAGTTGTCAAATTTATGTAAATATTGTAATTTCATTAGTAAGTGTTTAATGTGTTTTTCTAATCTCTTTGTGCCATTTTGAACACTCTTTGAATGCCTGGCTACGAATTGAGTAACATTTCACATGCAGCTTCATAGGCGAAAATCAGCTTTCTTTGAATTTAATAAAGCAAAATCTAATATATAAGTACTAATTTTGTCTACCACTAGAAATAAATCTCTTACAAACGAAGCAAGTTGGAATCTCTAAACAAGGTTCAATAGAGAAGAGTTGAAGACTTGGGCGCAGAATTATGATTAATTGAGCCTCAACATTTGTTCAAACTATACAATTTGTATAACCTTTACTTGAATAAAAATGTTACAAGTTTACATCAACCAATGCGTACAGTAAGGTTTTACATCATACTCATGTGTCTCGTTGTTGCACCAATCTAACTCTAAATTTCTCTAATGCTCCCAAATGATTAAGAATCTTGTGCATTATTCCTAGCATAATGCGAATAGTACGAACCGCCATTTTCACATCGGTGTGAAAAAAGCCTTAAATTTTTCATTAAATAAACAAACATTGTAAAAAAAATTTTGCACATAACATAAATTAGACAATTTTTAATAATTCAGTGAATCAGCTGGGTAGAATCTTGAGTTATAAGTAAAATCAAATATCATTTAAGCCTTCAATTGAAATCTTTTAAATGTTATAATTTAGAAGCCCCTGAAGTTTAGATGCCCTAGATAAAGTGCCGCATCTGCTCATGTGATAACCAAGCCCAATATCATTCTGGACAATGGCTCAATGACCCGTATACACTTGACCTGTATTCTATAAACGGATGTTTTTTGAGACTAAGAACCTTCCTGGTATACCCACCTCTAACAGTTTTTCTAATCTTTTCAAAGTGTGGAATTCGTAGCTTAATCTGAAGAAGAAAAAAAATTGCAAACTTGACGTGACCAAATGTTTTTGCATGCATTTTGTTATTGGGAAAGAAAATGTTTTTTCCCCTCCGATTTCCTAATTCTAAAATCAACAAATTAATTCTATCGGCCTTATCTCTCTAGGGTAAATGGCAAGCATGCATTCCCTATCGTCTCCTACCAGTTAAAAATGAAGTAATTTTTCAAGAGAAGTAAAAAATTAAGTAGCTTGAATTTAAGAGACCATTTGTCATGTGTACTGCTCTATCTCGTTTCTCGTAATTATTTAAGTTCTCGAACTCGTGCTCAACAGTTTTTGACTTCACAAGGACTTATAAGTCATACATTGTAATTAGCGCGCATACTTTCATTTGTATGCGTGACAATAAAAAAATAAATATTGTTTCGTGCAACAAACCATTCACTATAATAAATCTATTTTCGTTTTTGCAAATATTAAGAATTTTGAATATCATCTTTATAAAATTGCTTTAATTTTGTAACAGAACGAAGGAATTATATTTACTATTACGCTTAGGGGAAAGAGCGCAAAAACCTGTTATTACAGCTCCTAATATATTAGATACCTATTACCAAAAATTATCAAGTATCAACAATAGTTTGCCGTTTGGCTCCTTGAAACGGAGTATAGAACCAAAATTTTAAGTCAAATTAATAAATCCAAGCATAAAATGCTACTACTTTTACTAAAAACAAAACATAAGTTGAAATTTAATGTTTACAAAATTTGAAAGAAATCACACTACGCCAAGATTTGCTTTTGTATCATTCATGCATGTAAAGCATTGTAACAAAAAACATGTGAGCTGTTTTAAAAACAGTTTTCGATTGAGGACTCAATTTATAACTACAAGGCAGTACAACAGGAGTTTGATTTTCGAGCGCTTTTGTAAAAAGCTTTTGACTGCTCACTTATATCATCAGCAGTTCTGATGAGATCATCTAAATTTTCACCTCTTCGAAGAATGCCAACTACAGTCTTATGCAATATTATTTTAGTTTCATCTAACTCTTCCTCTAATCCAGCAGCACTTACTGGCTCTTTTACTGGATTTGAAAACATTTTAAATATTGTCTTAATTTCTGGGAATTCTAAGTCAGCATCAGACAGTGCCCAAATTTCAGGTTTAATGGATGAGGAGAATGCATTTAGTAAATGAGTTAAGCATGTGTGGGCTTTTGTTGTTGGGTACTCATCATCCGTGACAACTACGGCAGCGAGGTTATCAGGCCTTACAAACGCATTGCACATATAACCCTGTTGCTGTACACTGACTTTAACATCTGGCTCTGTTCTTTCGACTAAGATCACGCTACTAAAATGCATAAATTCCTTGACGCTTCTTTTTTGGAAAAAGCCAAATTCGGATAGGTCGCTTACACTGCTCAAGATGACAGATTTGGCAGAATTCTTTCGCAGAACTGCCAAAAAGTAAATCGCAACCATATTTATTTCAAATAAATCCAAAAAATTATGATAAAATTTTACAAATTTAACTGGTAAAAAAACTTCCTACTGAACATCTTCGTAAATTCTATTCAGCTATAATTATTAATTTTATAAACTTTTAAAAACATTTGTTTATTCATTGGAAGTTTTAATTTCTAATTTTAATTTCACCTACTAATGCCTACCATTTTATTTACACTTTTTTCCTGGATATATAAATTTCTTTAAGACAAATATAAAAATTACAGTGATATGACAAATAAGAAGCAGAGTAGGCGTGATTTAAAAATATTTAATTGGGTATACTATAGCCTACGTCACAGATCGTGTTATTCCTACTAAATTTAACTAGTAAACAGCATTTTNCTTTTTAGATTATGAACTGTTTGCAGCAATAATTTTCAACAGATTTTTCTTATTAATGTATAGAATTTGCATGCATAATTAACAAAAGAAAACAACCACTTTAAAAATATTTTTTCTAAAACAAAAGGGAGCTTCCGAGACTAGAAAACAAAATTGTTAATTTGAACTCTGATGATATTTCTTAGTTCTATAAGTCATCTCTAGTTTGTGGGATACTGCTTCAATCAGATTGGTTGTAACAAATCAATTCTGAGAAAAAACAATGATCAAATTGCTTAATGCTATGCTTACAGAGATTGATGCATATACAATGCTCAATTAACTTATATATTATACTTAGGGCTGTGATAATAAGCCTTTGATATTAAATCTCATTGATAACAAAGTTTTATTCATAGAATAAAAGAATAAATTAAGAAACAAATCTTATATTTTTTAGGAGCTCATATTTTAATGTGTTTAATGAGCTCATTTTAGTATGTAAAATAATTTGCTGTTATATTATCATTAAATAAATTTCAATTATTCCCATTTAATCTTATACACATTTACTTCAATACGTGTAATTTTAAAACTTATTAAATATCTATTCGTAACTAAGGAATAAAGACTTCTACCGCGAGCAATTTATTTTGAAAATGTTTTCCGATTTAAATTAATATTTTTTCCATAGATAAGTAGTTTTTTTGTATTTGCAATTCATTAATGGTTTTAGTTTGATAAAAAAAGAACTAACTTCTATAAGAACTAACTATATTAGAACTAACTTCTTTCCTTTAACTAGTTTGCAATAATTAAATACAAATATTAGCCTTTTTTATTATTAGTGATATTTAGAATTTGCTATATTATTGTTAAATAATACTAAATACTATTTATACATTTTGTCAGAGTGATCGTCAAACGCGAAAAAAAAAATTTTAAAAATCTGATTGAATTGAAAAAAAATCCAATGTTTGATAAATACTTTATTAAACAAACATTTTAAAATGCCTTAAAAGCCATGACATGTTTAAATGTCTTTTTATTAACCCTGAAAAAAAATCTGAATGCTTCGCCCAGGGCCGCTAACATTCTAGGTACTCCCCTGATTCTGTAATATGATAAATTCTACTCTAAATAGAGAAAAGAAAACTTCTTCATTCCTGACACTTTTCTGTATTTATTCTCCTATTAGTTAAAAAGATTAATTATGCTCACATAGATATGGATTTCATTAACATAAAAATAAATATAAGAACAGGAAAAATAATTAGAAATTAAAATGAACGTAACTTACTTAACAAAATGCACATTTGCGTTCGTTAAAACACGACATCCTTAAAGAACTATTATCTAAGCATTTCATTAAACTGCAATAAAACAAATAACCAAACCATTACAAAGAACTTCCGTAGTTCAATTAAAAATAATTAGCAATCTAACTGGTAATTAAGCATTTTGTCGTAGCGTGGCGCTAAAACTGTTTCGGCCAGACCTGTTGCCATTTTGCACTCATATAAAAAAACGTGTAGCCTTTTTATATGCTTTAGCATTAGAGTGAAAATTCTTTATATTTTTTTTGTGGTTGCCACTATTATTACTAAAAAGACGGCAAGTTTTTTTCATGCATTTCAGAACGCCCAGCACTATCCCTATCAGTTTTAGCACCTCGCAACAGTAAAAAAAAACTACTAGTTAGATTGTTGAGTTTATCGTTTTCTTTTATTATTTTTAATTGAATTTATGAAGTTCTTCACAATCGTTTGATCATTTGTTTTGTTTTAGTTCTATGAAATGCTTAAGCTCTAATTCTTTAAGAATGCCGTGCGTAAATAAAGGAAACAGTATAACTTGTAAAGTAAACCACGATTTATTTGAAAATTTTAATTTCCTTGTACTTAAATTAATTTCAATGTTGGATAAAATGCTTATTTAGATGGATGACATGCACCATTAATTCTCTTAAACTAAAGAATAAGTTCCGAAAAATGTTATTAATGTAGATTATTTTCTTGTCTCTGTTTAAAGTAGATAATCAGAAGTAAATAAAAAAAATATGGCGGAAACACATTTTACGAATGATATATCTAAAGCTTTAAATAAAAGATTTGAATTGATTACTAATAATTGTTATTTTTTATTTTTTTAATAATCAGATTAAGCAAGGGATACGAGTCTACACTGTTTTTTAAAGGTTAAGTTCCACTGCCCAATATACGCTACAGTGATGTTTTTTTCTTTTTCGGTAAGGTTAAGTGCCATTGTTGTCTGAATTCTCTATGATGATGTTTTTCTTCATGTACCCAAATATATTTTTTAATAATAAACCATAAAAAGTAAAGTAACTACACTGGTAGATCGCATATTTTGACAATAGACAACTGACCAGCGTAATCCTCAAACTGAAAAACTAGTAATAAAATTTCCATACAAATCTTTGAAAACTCTCAATACTTTACTTTTCAATTTTATATTCTAAGAACAAAAATCTTTCGCCGATTTCAGCAATTCAAGTGGATAATTTATAGTAGAACTGAATATAAAGATTTGTAAATACGTGAAGCGTTTATTACTAAACTTTATATGAATATTAGCGCCATTAGTCTTTGAGAATTAAGATTACTATTGTGTGTTTTTTTCGTTCACGCAATATTAAATGTAAGAGTTGCACAAAAAGTAAGCATTTATTAAATTGTTCTTTTAATGATTTAAAACTCGCTCATAAACTAATCTAAGCCTCAAATATCCTTTCATTCTCTCATAATGTTTGAAAATAAACTAAATGAATAAAAAAAAATTCGCAAACTATTTGCTAAAACAATTTATTCAATATATAAAAATCAACAAAATTTTCACAGATGATTGTAAAATGTGCACATGATATCATCCTTTGGCTTATGATGATATATGTGCTTACAGTAATTTGAACAAATAAATATGTTGACATAGCATGAAGCAATTCTTACGTGATACGAACTTCAAGAGTTTAATGAAATGACGAAGGGTACTTTTTTAATGAAGAGATGAGATACAATTTATATAATGAAATAAATTTTTGAAATCAGCATTTGGAAATTAGATGAGTTTTTATGCGTTGATGAGCTTTAAAAGTTTTACATTAATAAGATTGTAAATGAGAAAAATTACGTGGCAATGGATAGCAATATTTTCATGCAGCGTATTTACATAAGATTGAATATTCCCTGTAACCAAACTCTACATTTGCCTTTTTATGAGAAAAACAATCTAAAAATAAGCTTTCAAATTATGCTCAAATAACTAATAATTTGCTAAGGCACGTTAAAAATTAAAACTTCACATATGTAAATTTACTTTGAAATTAGCTCAAAATAAAATCCGTTAATTTTAACCAATATTTTCTTAAAGCTGCTGTTGTTTTATATTGTAAATATTTATACTCTACATTTCTATTTCGTATAAAAACTATATTAGTCTGGATTTATCAAACTATAACTAATACTAAATTCAACTTTTTAGATTATGAACTGTTTGCAGCAATAATTTTCAACAGATTTTTCTTATTAATGTATAGAATTTGCATGCATAATTAACAAAAGAAAACAACCACTTTAAAAATATTTTTTCTAAAACAAAAGGGAGCTTCCGAGACTAGAAAACAAAATTGTTAATTTGAACTCTGATGATATTTCTTAGTTCTATAAGTCATCTCTAGTTTGTGGGATACTGCTTCAATCAGATTGGTTGTAACAAATCAATTCTGAGAAAAAACAATGATCAAATTGCTTAATGCTATGCTTACAGAGATTGATGCTTAGATCCATGATCACAACAGAAACAACGTCGACAACAGACATGATTAGAAAAGTTACAAAAAATAGTTAAACCACGATGCGCAATTGTTTTCCCTAGAAATCGCTGAAGAAGCTGCAATTCAACGAAGTTTGAGAATAATGAGTCTCAAAAAAGTTCCATCTCTATGTACAGTCAGTTACTTCATTTAGTTCCATTTTCAGTACTGGTTTGTAAATATCTAAGTATCCTTTCTGCTTATTTCAGTTTCTGACACTTACTTCTGTCTCCTTTCATGCAACGTCCTATACCCACTAAGTATATTTGATTAGCCGGGCAATTTAGGATTCGACCTTTCAATGCCTTTCCAGCAGCTCGAGAGGCCGGTGCGCAAACTACGAACTTACTACACTCAGTGGGATGAATAAATACACCTCGTTTAAAGCAATCAACTTCGGTTTCTGATTTTACGACTACGGGTGGTCCATCATCGGATGGAGTAGGCAAAGGACGACTAGTTGTGGTAGTTGCTGACGATGCAGTCTGTGAACCACGACGATTAGAACTTCTTGGAGAAGAAGTTGTACTCGTCCTATAAAAAATAAATTAAATCACTGAATTAGAAAAAAAATATGCATGCCTATAACACGTTAGTGGCATTGTGAATTTTAATTGCTCTTTCCTTAAAATCCCACTAAATGGACTAGTCATGTTCTGATTTTGTGGCTTAGTGAAATTAACTGGAAGCCAAGCTTATAGCTAAATCATGATTATTTGCCGTAATTTTGTTTCGAATCAATATAAATACATGTTTTGAAGCGTGCTTGTCCATCTTACACAAAAGAACAAACAGAGCTTGTTGTGCAACAGAACTGGTTGAACATTTATCTTGGTTGAATATCACCGAAGGCTTAGGTAAATATTTGCAGAAAAAACGAAGGGCTCCGCCCTTCACTCGTCGTAAATTAACAGAAACTACCAAGAGGACATTGGTGGGTGGCGCAGGGCAAAATGAGCCCTTTTATAATGTATGTATGGTATTAGAAAAAATGAGAGACTTGGTACAAAATTAAAATTCCTTTTTTAATGGCATTTTTATGTGTGCCTATTTTAAATTCTATTGGATCCTAGCAATAATTTCTGAATCTGCATTTTCCTTGATATTGCACCAAGCTCTTCAAACACTCTAACTGTGGTGGGATTAGATCAGAATATTTGATACCACCCAAATCCATGTGACATAGCAGTCAACAGATTAAAAAGTAACGATGTCAAATTGCGCAGCTAAATTAAAATGTAAAGCACTTAAATTTTACAGTTGTAGGTTCTAATACAAATACGATTTCTTTTTATTTTTCAATAAATTGCCCGTTTTAGTGCATAGTGTCAAGATTAAAAACGATCGAAACGAAACCATTAATAATCTCAAAAGGAGTTTTAAAGGAACCATATATCATCCATCTCATTTTTAAAGCTGATGTTAAGTTTACTTGGTCAGCATGATGTTTAGTTTACTAAATAGAGTCACAAATATTTTAGAAAATTTTTCCAACGTTATTCTAAAATTGAATGCATTTAATTGTCTTGCATTATTTTCTGTTAAATGATTTCGTATTTTAAAAGATGTTAATCTAACTTTTATAAATATATACCTTTATTTTATTTAGATTATTAAAGCAAATATTACTGCTTATGGATTATTTCGAATAAATATTAGCTAAGTAGCAAAAAGAAATATCAAACAAACTTCTTCGCTGGCCTCTGATCCTGATAAAAGCATTTATTTACCAATTAAAAAATTATTGATGAATATAAAAATAACTGTATGCGTTTTAGTTACAATTTGGGTAGTAAGTTTTTGGAATTACGAGGTTCTTCTGTGCACAGTCATTATAAGTTAGCTCTATCAATTAATTATCCTTTTTATCCGATTCTGATGTAGTGTTGCAACTTTAATCGTATTTCGACTCTGGAATATTACTATCCCGTAATTGTAATGCGATTCTTGAGCATTGTTGTTAATATGACATAGTTGTAATTCAATTCAGAAACATTATTACTACTATGCCGTAAATCAAGATTCTGGAATATTGTTGCAACTGCAAACTGTAATTTTGATCCATTTCTGCAATATTGTTGCTCCGATGCCATGTTTGTAACCTAACTCTGGAATATAATTGCTCTTACGACGTTTTTGTTAGTAAAAAAAATAGATAGATAGATAGATGACGTATGTTGAAATTTGAAGGTATGTCAGTATTTAGATGCTAAATAAATTCTACTTACGTTCTCACAGGTGATGATGTTGATGATGAGAATCGTCTTCTGTTGCTAAGAGGGGGCCTAAGTGTTGGTCTTTTGGTTGTTGTAGTTGTAGTGGTTGTCTGCTCGGAAGTAGTAGTTTCATCTTCATACTCATAATAGTATTCATCTTCATATTCATCACTATCATTTTCTGAGGTTGAATTTGGAGCAGTGTAAACTGGAGCTGGTTCAGGAGGCAAGGTGGTGGTTGTCGTTGTTGTTGTGGTAGATGTTGTTGCAGGACTTGTTAGCTATAAGAGAAACAACTTTTAAAGCAATGGGGTCAAATTTAAAGTGGGTAATTTCATAATTTTATTCCAGAAAATGTCTAAAGCCTATATGTTCGAAAAGTTTAATTAGAATATTTTTATTATTTTTATTGTTCGTAAATCAGTTTATGATTTTTATACCACTAGATTGAGACTCTGGAGCATTTATGAATGTTTTTTTATTACTTTACTCGCAATGTTCTAAACTTTTTAGGGATAATTTTAATTGCTGGTTAAGTGTTGTTTGAAAAACATTGAGAAGACAAGCGTAAATAAGATATAGAATATTTTCAGAATGTTGCCGAGTAGATTTTACAAAAACGCATATTTTCTCTCTTCAAACCACTTCAAGCTCTTATAGCTCTTCTTTAGCAAAAATATCATGATTATGTTTTAAATTAGATTTATAGAATCGCCTGTTGCTTATTTTCCTTAAATGAATATTTTTCATTTTTAGAATTAAAAAAAATAAATAACTAAGCCTGATAATGTGCTCTTCAAGTAATGCTAAATACTCTAATTTATAATTTCGGCAAAGTAAAATGTTTCCTAAAGTTTGTATTTTTTAGTAACCTAATTAAGTTTAACAATATGGATTGATGTGTATTAGTTTTTTTTTATGGAGTCAAATGTTTGTGTAGGTCAAAAAATTGTAGTTATAGATTTCGATTTTCAGCTATAGATTTAGATTTGCAGTTATAGATTTTTTTAAATCATCAGCTTTACTATAAAATTTTTAAGGAAATTTATGAAGCAGGAATTCACTAAATTAGCGAAAGAGTTGTGAAACATCGAATAAATAAACACGTTTTGAATACATGTTTTTTAACAGTTACTTAATTATTTAATTTTAAAATTTGAAACATATGCAGCTTTTCTGCGCTGTTTTTAATAACTTTTTTCATTCATTAAAATTTTTTAGTTATTAAATTTTTCAATTTTTTATTTATTAAAACGAACGTTTCCTTTAAAAAAAAACTTCAACTATCTAATAA